CCATATGGGGCCCTCTACCTATAATGAACGGAAAAATCAAAAGTATAAAATATATGAACTGTACATTTATATAATAATATATTATTGTATTTATTTAAAAATAATCAAACATAAAAACAGTGTAGTCTTGACGGACAAAACATGTTTGTGACGTCTCAAACTCTCAACGTTTCTGTTATCGTCTCACCGGCGCCAATTATTAAAAATAATAATAATATTTATGATTGTATCATTATTGGGATTTTAGAGGTATTTATTTTTAGAACTGAAAACCTATTGGCTTGAGGGATACTTCAATCAGTACACAATGAGACGTATATACGTATATATATCCTTGATTTATAATGATATAAAAATTGTATTTAAAATGAAATAAAAATGATATTGTCTTTTCATTATTAATTGTTTATATTGTGTTTTAACACAAGGTGTTTGATTCTATAGGTACATACTAATTACTATTTACTATTCTATAACGCCTTCTACATTTTCCTCCGTGCCTTAAAGTAATAAATAACATTTTTAACAATTATCAAAATTAGGTAGTTAGCGGAAATTTTGATAATTTATTATAATCGATCCCTAAAAAATATGTACATTTTTTTTCTCTTGTGCTATCATTAGACCTATAAACTTAGGGGGTCACCAAGGTGGACTATATGATACTTTGCTATAAATCACGATTAAAAATGTTCTTTTCAAATATTACAAAAAATCACGGCCTACTAAAGCCACGATTTTTTTTTTTGTTTAAAACCACACATCTAAACATACCTGCCTCCATCTTTCACGATTTTGGGCTAGCATATATATGCCAATCTTCCTTCAGGTAGACAACTGTTACATCTTTTTTGACATAATCCTCCCATCGCATTCGGGGTCTTCCTAATAGTCTTTTCCCTCTTGAATTCTCTTGTAAGAGCGTCTTCGTCATAGCATCAGGTTTCCTCCACACATGACCTGTCCATTCCAATCTCCTTCTTTTTATCTCCTTTACTATATCCGATCTGTTATACAGGTCACATAACTCCTCATTGTATCTTGTACGCCATTCACCTGTTAGCTGCTCACAGCATGATCCATATATCCTTCTTAATATTTTTCTTTCAAAAACCCTCAGTTTTGACTCGTCACTTTTCCTTACAGTCCAACATTGCGCTCCATCTAGTACTATAAATCTTATTAGTGTGACGTATAGGCGTATAGCTGAACTGTAAGTGTCTCTGAAAGTATTATTGACTTAAGTAACTTGTTGCCCATTTGGATCCTTTTAATTATCTCATACTCCATATTGTTTGTCTGGGTGATCATTGTACCCAAATATTTAAACTGTAAGGCCCTACCTTTAGAAACTCTTCTGCTTGTCTTCCGTACCGTTGTCTACTTATTTCCATATACCGTGTGAACAATTTTAAAGGTAACAGGAAATATTTCGATCGTATGACCTTGAATTTGATTCGGGGTTTTTATACTGTATATAGGACTTATAAATACATATTTTTTTAATAAATTCAAATTTTTATATTATTTTTATCCGCGCATGCGCAGTAAAATAAAAATTTCTTAAATAGCAACCACTATTTTGGAGACCGGATTTCGATTTCTATATTTTTTCTGAACTTTGATCTTTACAGTTTGTTGATATCTTCAAAATTGCCATGTTTATGACGGTCGGAAGTTTTAAAATAGTTAATTCGTAAATAATTGTGTGGTGGATGATATCTCTCGGGATATCGTTCAGCATAAAGTGCCGCTGCGTTAGGCGAATTTTGATGACATTCTCCAAAAATTAATACCATGTTATCGGTTTTTTCGGAATAGTTTGCCATTGTACAGAAAATAATGTGTCACGCGCGACTTACGAAAAACGTTTGACTATTCACAATCAATTTTAGAATGGTATCAAAATATCTTATTCCCACAGGTTAATAGTATAACTTTCATTATAATACTATTAAAAACAAAGTAAGATAATAGTAGTAGATAATTTAGTAGTTTTAATAAAAATAAATTGTTATAATAATACCTATAAATTAAGATAGACCGTTGAAAAATGCAATATTTACAAATTAACTATTTTAAAACTTCCGACCGTCATAAACATGGCAATTTTGAAGATATCAACAAACTGTAAAGGTCAAAGTTGTTCAGAAAAAAATAAAGTAATCGAAATCCGGTCTCCAAAATAGTGGTTGCTATTTAAGAAATTTTTATTTTACCGCGCATGCGATGATAAAAAAAAATTAAAAATTTGAATTCATTAAAAAAATATGTATTTATAAGTCCTATAATATGCAGTATAAAAACCCCGATTCAAATTCAATGTCACAGGATCGAAATATTTCCTATTACCTTTAAAATTGAACACACGGTATTCTGTTTTCTCCTCGTTAATTTGCAATCCTACTCTTCAAGCCACTACTATTATTATTAAAATTCATAATATTTACGTAACATTATTAGTCGAAAAATGGCGGTGTAGCAAACCTAGGGGTCATATTCCACCAACACGGTTAAAGTTAACCGGAGTTTTAATCGGCCGAATTTGGCCTTCTATTTCTAGCTTACCTAGCCACTACGGAGCGCTAGTATGCACCTATGCAGCGACTTTTTTTGAATGTCCGATAATATTATGTATGAAATATGTAACTTGGTAAGAACATTTGGCGCCGTTACATTATATTGCTTGTTGTGCAAGTGCAACCCCAGTGACTCAGACTTTATATATGTATGGTGTCCCGGCCCCCGGGCTTGCAACAATATTGTTATATCGAATGGCGGACAATTTCCCCCCGACTGTTTTTGACATTTTCCCCCCAATATATATTCGATGCGGACATTTTCCCCCCCATTTTTATTTTAAGTTTATTATTTATTATTTAATAAGAAATTATTTTTTTTCAGTAAAATATAATTTTTTTTTATAAATATAATCAATTATACTATATAATTACCTATTATAGTAGATATATTTACTTTTTTTTTTTAGATATATTTTTGATCAATTCAACTACTTGAAACAATAAAATAATAGTAATATTATATTTAAAAGATTGTCTAAATAAAAAATAATAGTACTAACTACTAGCATACTGTATTATTCGCTAGTAACATTGAAATCTAAAATTGTATCTAAAACCCAATCAATTGCTGGGCTGTCAAAAACTATCTTATTATTTGATTTATTAGACTATTAATATAAGATTCTTCTACAATCTTATATCTTCATGAGCAAAGGTTTTGGACTTTTGTATAAAAATTATCATTTTTATGTCGACATTTTTAACCTATTTTACAGTTTACTTATATACAATTTTTTTATGTCTTATTATATTTATGAATAAAAAAATGAAATTTTTAACCTATTTTACTTACCTATATACAATTACTTTACGCTTTTATTATATTTATGAAAAAATGGGGGGGAAAATGTCCGCATCGGAACATTTTTCGGGGGGGAAATGTCCTACTACGCCAAAAACAGTCGGGGGGAAATTGTCCGGATACCGTTATATCATGGGCGATGGGCTCATTACCTTTTCTCATATATTTGAACTATATTTAGTCCAACGAGAAGAGACGAACGTCGGCAACCATATTTGCGCGGAATCCGTTGTAAATTTAAATTTTCCTGACATACCTATTTATTTTGTCATGCATTCTATAGGTATGATAAATTATATTCTACTAGTTTCACCCGGATAATCAGGGTTTACATATAAATCTACGGGCTACGGGTTCAATGAACTATTCTCCGGGTCATAACATTTTTATATAATTGCAAATAGTTTGCCAATCAGTAATAAAAACATAGATTTTCTTACGCCAAGAGATAAGATACGATTTATAGTCTTATTTGACTTGTAATCCGAATATCTGTGTTTAGTTTTTGTGTCAGTGTTCTCGTTTTATTTTTTTTTTGCTTATCGTCTCCGGGGATGCTATCTTTCAAAGGTGGCAACCCTATACATGACCCGTTTGCGGTCTGACACGACGAGACAGTAAAGTTCACGGTTGTCCTGAAGACTAGAATAGTAGAATATCATGTTTGTAATATAGACGCATAAATGTTATACAAAATATATGTAATTTGTATGTCCAACGTCTATGGTTGTATTGACTAACCTCTTTGGTTTACGGTGGCCCGGCGATAACGACAATTTTTGAGCGGGAGATAACCCGATAACTTTAAATTTTGCGATAAGTTTAACGCGAAACGCGGACGTTTAAAATTAAAACTGTGGTTCGAACGAGCCGTCGCTGCCGGCCGACAACAAAGTTTTATCTTGGTCGTCCATAGACGTTTTTTTTTGATACGCTTTGCGATCGCGTGGACACCGGGACGCGCGTCCTAAATCATGTGTTCATGGAACGACGTCGGGGAGGGGAGGGAAAAATGGCGGCATTTTCGACACGAGCCTACAACGTCCCGGTCCCGCCAACGCTGGCGAGTGCCGATTTCTTTTGTTAACGGCATCGATTTCCGCGGCGGCGTCGTCCCTCCAACGGTTCACCCGCCGACCGTGCACCGGCCGCGGCGATTGGTCGCCGGCGGGTCACGTGCTCATTAAACATGGCTGCCACGGACTGTTGGCGCGCGTAACGGCCGTAGCTCGGACCATTGCGCGTGCGCGGTAACAGCGATCCTGCGGGTGCGGGTGCGCGCGTGTGTACACAGTGTATGCGGTTTCGACGACTGTTTTCCGCCGCCGCTCATTGCTTGTGCTCCGACCGTTTGGTGCGACGTTCGGTTTAATTTTTTTTGCCCGTTATTTTTTCCCAACGGTTTTTTTTTTTTCGGCCGCCATCCGCACACCCGACTCGCCGAAAAACATTTCGTACGCGCACGCCAGTCGCAGCACAGTCACACACTCACACCGCCGTCGACAACACGTACCGGCTGTGTCATTCGTGCCGCACAACGCCAACGACAACGATACGTTCCAGTCGCGTTCACCGCCGTCCCTTTGTAACAACACAGCACGAACGCCTCAGCGAAAATGGTACGTACCCGAAATCGTGGCCAAGACCACCGACGTCGACGCGGTGTTTCGCGGACGGCGGCGGCGGCGTTTTAACGCGCCAAAAAACGCACGCCGCCCGTTGGCGCGCACGGCGTCCGCGATCGACGATTTGACAATGTTTTCAACGTCGTTCTCTCGCCCGCATGCATAATACTGTATTATATTTACTGAACGTTTTTGTTTCCACTCTAGGCCGGTGGTAAAGCGGGCAAAGATTCCGGTAAATCCAAGGCGAAAGCGGTGTCCAGGTCCGCCAGAGCAGGCTTACAGGTGAGTCGCGACGGCGTGTCAATGCCGTTGTTATTTTTTTTTCCTATACGTTATTTATTGACTCTCGAGAAATGTCAAATGAACAAAAAAAAGAACGGTCGTGCGCGTTTTAGTACCGGTCGTAATGCGTTAGTGGATGACGCCTCGGATTGGCGCCGGTAACTGCTGCTCGATTCCCCCCTCCCCTTCATCAACACTTACCCCACCTATCGTTTGGCCCGCTCAAAACGAACACTAATGAATCCACTGGATCGTTTTGCGCGCGTCTCAAACGACAACGGCACGACCGCCGCCTACAATCGGTTTTTTATTTTTTTTTTCACCGTCACCGGTTGACCGGTGTCATGGTTTCCACGTTGAACCGACTCTTGTGACAATGTTTGCCCGCCACTATTTTACCAGCTCTGTACCTGCGTTGATTCTCGACACATTGTCCCGCTTACTGTGGAAGGTGTACTACACCTGACTTTCTTATTTGGTACCCTAGTCTAATTCTTGAAACCAGGCAGTAATTTGATATTTAATATGTGATTAATTTTCCAACCACCGTCTCGAGGATATCGATTTGTACGAGCGTTTAACCTCAGGTAGGTAGGAGGTGGCCAGCTTCCTGTATTTATATTAATTGTTTCGTCAGATATTCCCATCATTCAGACATTTGTTTATTTTAATAACATTCTAATCCAAATTAATACCTACACGAATCTGTCCACTATTTTTATAGAAACAAAGAAGGTATTTAATATGATAGGTAATAATGGCACCTACCTAAAATAGGTTTTTTTTGAGTCTGAAGATTATTTAATTATTATTTCGTCACCTGGGTAGTTTTATGTAATTAAATAATATGAAAAGATTATAATTATATATTATTTAATCGACGTTCAATTTTTGAATTTATTCAATGATTGTATAATATTTATGTATAATGTATAATGTAGATATATTTAAATCAAATTAGTAATCTTTCATTCTTTGTTCAAATTTTTTTAAAATTGAATTAGTTATTCAACTCTCCAACAGAGAGTGCACCCGACAACAAAATAATTGTATAACTTTGAATAGCATTATGTTAGTGATAATGTTAACATTTATGATGATACTTATATAACTAAATTATGTTATCATTATGTAAATATAATAATATAGGTAATATACTTGAATTATTAATTTTAAATTAAATTGCTTATCAATATTTCTTAAAATACTTAAATTATAAAAATAAGTTCCATAACCAGTATCCATCCACTTAAGTGAAATAATTCTGGGTATAGGTAATTAAATCAATAATCACTTTTTCTGATAATTTTAATGTTTTACTTTAATGTATTAATGTATTATTATTAAACTTATACATGCACACAAAATATGATACAGCTTGTTTATTCTTTAGGTAGCTCGTAAATTGGTTTCAAGATAGGTTCTAGAGTATAGGTATATCGACAGTCTACAAATAAAAAATTTGGTAGGACCACTATGAATCTGGAAGTTTTCTAACATTAAAATGTGATATGCATTTTTAACTTGAGACAGTATAATCAAAATCATAAAATACTACGATTAAAGATGTACAGGTTACTTAACGGCATACAAAACAAAAGTGGTGCTCTAAAATGTTAGTTTCCAACAGCTGATCAACGATGTGAGAATAACTACTAGCGCTCCAATACATAATATTGTACATCTATATTGATATATTTTGTAGTACCAAGAGAAATCACTATAATGCAAAAGCGCTAATTGTTATTCTTGCTATGACAAGATCGTTAATTTTAAGCTCACCAAAAAAGTTCTGTTGGGTAACCTGTATATCTCTACTCGTGTAAAATATTAATGAAAATCTAAATCAATTCCCTATAAAAAAAATTAATTGCGTCCACAGTCAATATGTCATTTTTTTATAGGTAGTATATTATACGTATCAGTTAGTGGAGTTTGCATCAAATATATGTACATAATTAATGAGTAATGTAGCTCATTAATATACATTATGTTGTCCCTTTAATATTCCATCTATCAATTATTTACATAATTTATTTACAGTTTCCAGTGGGAAGAATTCACCGTCATCTAAAAAATCGTACTACAAGTCATGGTCGTGTTGGAGCTACAGCCGCTGTTTACAGTGCTGCCATCTTAGAATATTTGACTGCTGAAGTAAGTATTTGTTTGGGCAATATTGTCTATAATATTGGGTTAAAATATTGTTTATTTAAAGGTACTTGAATTGGCTGGCAATGCGTCTAAGGATTTAAAAGTGAAACGTATTACGCCACGTCATTTGCAACTTGCCATCAGAGGAGACGAAGAATTAGACACACTCATTAGAGCTACAATTGCAGGAGGAGGTAATTTAAATTATGGCGCTGTTGTAAAATTTAGCCTGTATATTAATTTTTTTTTTTTTTGCAGGTGTTATCCCTCATATCCACAAATCCCTCATCGGTAAAAAGGGATCTCAAAAACCACAGTAAAAATTCCACCTGCCATACAAGACTTTAATTAAATGTAAAACATTTTTTTGTAATTTGTAAGCTATGTAATTTGATTTTATTCATTTGTTCTTTTGCCTTATTTCAATTATTAGTTTTATACCTCGTATATTATAAATTGATTCCATTTGCTACTTTAGTGCGAGTGTTGGAGGTATAAAACTTTTATGGCAAAGACTAATTATATTAAGACAAAGTAAACTTCGACTTTTTTTTTGTAATATCAATTTTTTCACTCAAGTTATGTCAATCGGAAATTGTTTTTGATTATGTTTTTAATCGAAAATTTCTTCGATTACGTAAAATCTAGAATGTACAATATTTCGTTTGTTGTATTATTCACGTAAATGATTAAAAAAAAATAAATATATGCATTTCTTTTTATAATTAATCCATGTATATAATATTTATTTCTTACCATGGTTAATATTTACACAGATGATTTTTATAATAAAATGGAAATATAAAATAGATAAATGACTAAATTGAGTAAATGTCAGTCCTTAAAGTTAATTTCAGTAGGGTTTGTTCTTATAATTTGATTTCTATAAGCTGGATATTGTTAGCAATATCCAATTTCAGCGCATACACTTTGTTCTTGAATTTCATCTATAAAAGTGTTGAGAACTTTTTCAGTATATTTCTCCACAAAGCTAACACACGCATCCTTGTTTGGTAGAACGTCGCATAATGATTCCAATCTATACTGAACATCTTTCTACAGACAAAAAATTAAATTAATACAAATTATTTTTATTAGTTTGAGTTTGTTCATACTTCTAGTGGAGAAGTTTCGATTTTATTTTTGATGTCATGGATCACGTCCTTGCAAATAGTGCACTTGGGATGGAATTTTCCATACTTTTTTACCACTGAAAATACAAGAACCTTTTAACATTCTTTAAAATTTGTGTTTAAATTATAAAATCCTTACCACATTGTTTGGAGCAAGTGGTGCGCAATCTTTCTATTAGAGCTCTAATGAGCCAATCGTTGTTGTTGTCATCAACTTTTGTCTGACAACCAAACTTGACGAGATCCAGCAAATCGTCAACCTTTAAACAAAAATCTCAAGTATGAAACAATATACAAGTAATGTATGGTAGAGATATTATGATTTTGTGTGATGACTGACGACCCAAGGAATATATTGTTACTAACGGAGTTTGTTCATAATAAAAACGAGTACTAAACATTTGATTTTATCAATATAATAGTTTATTAAATATTTTACATTTATAGATATGTTTACTTTTCATCACATTTACCACAATACACATTTTCTACAATTCAAGTGGTGATAATGTATCGTACAGTTTGGTCAAGGGCAACAGAATAATTTTACATTTGATTAAATTGGCCAACAAAATTGTATTGTAATGATTAAGGCAAACTAGATGTTTATCATTGATATACTTTTTACTGCTTAATATTCATCTAACAAGCTTACATTAAACATACCTCAGTCAATTTAAATTTGGTAGTTTATAGTTTAAATTTTAAATTTGAAAGCGACAAGGGTCGCATGTCATTTATAAAACATTTTGACAATTTAACTTTTTCTACAATTTCATAAAGCCTATTATTAAAAATATTTTCATACTGTTCTGACATTCTTAAATCAGACTTCAGTTGGACTATAATAATTGTCTTAATGGCAAATTTATATAATGCAGATACAAAATACAAACTTTCTAAAAAAAAAATACATATTAATAACGAATTAATTTTTAAGTTTTGATCACCAAAACATTATATGAATTTTAAGTTCATATTTCTTATAGAAAAATTTTTTTCTCTTTGATATACATAATATAGTAAGTATAAAAATATATATTTTTCTTTATAACTTAGTTAATCCAGAATGTTTTCAAAAGAAAAAAACAAAAGATAGTAAAAATATGTATATTATAGTATAACTAAAAGTGAAATTCATAACATATTAATTTTTATCATGGTTTTATCCTTAACACATAATATATTTAAAAACCATAATCTATTAACATAATAAGGAATATTTATAAGTAATAATAATTGTTAAGTCTAGACTATCAATATTATAAGTCATCATTAATTATAATATTGATTTTGCGTTCACATAACATGAGTGTTAATTAATTTTAAATTTTAATCTAATTGAATATCACTTTAATCTTCGATGATTTTTACGTTCCATGAAGAGCGTCTGCATAACACTTCAGCCTGAAAAAAAAACAAATACATTTATCAGACAATGAAATTTATTAATTATTGTAAAATTTAAATGTTATAAGTTTATAACAACTGGGATCTGTTAAGATTTTGAAGAATAGTTAACATTTTTTTTTTTTTAATAAATACTGTGTTGCTTCCATTAAAAAAAATAAAATGAAGCAAGCTGTGTTAAAATGATATGGTTGTTATTCTCTCAAAGTAAATTAAATTATGTCTTAACAAGTTTAAATCAAGTCAATAGCTGTACACCATTGTAATAATTAATATTGTCAGAAAAAAATTAAAGAATTGAATTTGATAAAATTACCTTGCACTCTTTGGCGTTATCCCATGATTTGCACCAATACTCCGAGCCTTCTAAACATCTGGAGTTTCTAAATTGGTTGACTGCAACACTTTTATTTTTACTGCACAACGCCACTTTTTCGCACATCATCCATGTAGGAAAGTGGTTCAAGAGATTTTTGAAAGATTGAGCATACGACTCTATCATCTCCATACACTGCATAATATTTATTTGTGTGAATTTAAAATGTTAGAGGTCACTAAAATGGTTTAATTTAAAACGTTCACACACAAATACAAACCTTGCAATGTAAAAATAATATTAATTATTTAACTATTTTGGTTCTAGTCATATTATTATTTTTTCAGATGTGCAAGACGGATAAAACATATTATAAATTTGTTACAAATAACAATTTCAATGTGATTGGGGTTTTAAAATAAATATTATTTCTTGGGTCTGAATGTCATCTAACTGACTACACGTTTGATAATAATTGCACATAATTTGCTTACTGCAATCAAGAACACCAATATAGTTGTATTTACCTGGTCCTTATGTGCGATTTCCACTTCATTGCACAGCTCAATCAAATCTAAATCGTCAATGTTAAATGAATCATTGGTTAAACGATCTTCAAATACTGTGACGAATGCTTCGCAGGCGGCACAACTATTAGAACTATCCAATTCTTCAGCAGGTTCTGTTGTAGTCAAATGTACACTCTTTTTTGGTAGGTCGATAGTTTGTTTACCTCTTACTGTATAGACACAGAAAATTATATATAAATATATTACATAAAAGATATTTATTTTTGCATAATAATAATCGTCATTTGTTATCATTTACTTTTTTCATCATCGCACACCATTAACGCCATACACGCAATACCTGGATCGGTTCCAATTGTAACAAACTTAATAATCTGCTGATAGTTTGAGTCAATAAAAGATTGACATTCATTTTCTTCAACATTTGGTAAAACGCTACATATTGTTTCTAAAACGTGTTCTATTTCCTCCTAAAACAAAGTTAAATGTAATATTGTATTACTAACTATTTATTAACACATGTTTAAATAAATCTTTACAAAAACTCAACATACTTGATTTGATTTGTCTTTGATTTCACCATTCAAATATTTCATTACAACTTCGCATATGACACAAAATGGTGTTGGAACTTTTGGCTCTTCCAACATTTTGTAATCATTGGCTATTAATTGTCCCATATTGTATCCCGGAAACACTATAGTAATTTGACCAGCTGTAGCAATCATATTTGTTTCTAAAAAAAAAATAAAAATCCAAATAACCAATAATTATATCCACTAACTTATTTAAATAATAAATATACATTTCATTCGCTTACCCAAATCGTTTTCAGCACTTTCAGAGATGGTTTTTGGTTTGCAAATGTCCAATAAAACACAAATTTCTTCAGGCTTAACTTGAGCAACTAACATGTCGAGTATACTTTGTAACTGAGTCGAAACAAACTCTGTGCATTCTCCTTTCCATTTTGATGGTAGTTTGGTACATAACTTTTCCAATTTTTTTTTAATCACTTCCTGAATATTACAATTGTAATTAATTATTTATTCTTTGTGTACCTATTCGCTACATCTAAACGAGTGTCCTTATCATGGTCGGTGAGATATGGAACAACCAACCAGTGTCAACAACTTATATACATGAATAACCAGAATACAATTATTGAATTACAGTAGAATCCGTGTATAAAAATATTCCGAATAAAACAATTCCCAGCCTTGTTAATTTTATAATATCTCATGTGAAGTATACTTATGTCATTCAGATAAAATAATTTGATTCTCTAGACCCCTTAAACATCATTATAAGCGAATTCTACTCTATATATTATTTTGGCATAAGGTATATGATATTCATAGACCTAATACTAGTCACTAGTATAATATCTATGACGATATTATACTTGGTATCATAATATTAAGTTGTAACTAAATAATTATTAATTAAAAAAATTCATATATAGGGAGATGTATAAATTGTCAAGCTTTTTTTTACCAAGAATAACAAATTTAACTTACATTTTTATGAAAATCTGCCATACATTATATTTCATTATCATAAATCATGATTATTGTAAAGAATATAAGGTAGTAAGGTACTATTACACTGTCATCGTATTTCCGTGAGTCAGTTTAGACCAGTGGGGGGCCACAAAGTTTAAGAAATTCTAGAGGAGGGCCAGAATTATAGAAAAAATGCATTTTGAACAGATTATTATACAAAAACTACAATAAGGACGCACCAAACAGAGACCTGGGAAATATATTTATATGAACAAAAATAGAATTTTTCAGAATATTTCGGGAATTTTTTCCTAAATTAAAATTATAATGTAAAAAAATTAAATATATAAATTGTAAGAAATTCTGGAAAACCTCTGAGACTCTAATTTGGGAGCCATATACTATCCATGTCGATGGACCCTCGGCAGGCCGGATTAAATACTTTCGCGGTACGGAGTTGGCCCGCCGGCCGTACTTTGCCCATCACTGGTATAGACAGTGTTCAGAATTTTTTTATTATTTACCATATAATATTGTTGAAGTAAAATGATTTTACTAGTCATTATTAACCACATTTAAATAAGCATATAACCTACTGTAGGATAGTTAAATATTTTAAACTGTTAGATGTATTGTGGTAGGTAATGGATTAATAAATAACCGCGTTCACTGATGATATCTTTTGCATTTTTATTTAAAAACTATAAGAATATTGTTTTACTTGACATAATTGTAAGACAGGTGAAGATTTTTCCTCAATTGATTTCAGTTATTATCATGTAAGTAAAAAAAAGTAGAAACTTAAATATTTCACTGTTACTTAAATGTATCTTTTATTAATTTTTGGATTCTAAGTGGAATGATGAATGTATTATTTATTTTTTTATTTTTGTGTCTGTGTACAAGATAAGTAGTCGAAATAATTTTCAACTTCAGTTTCTTGTTCGAATGGAAAGTTAATATCGGTGCATTAGGGAGGCAAAAGTTTAAAATTCCCAGTAATTTTCAAGAGCCAAGAAAAACGAAAGTAAAATTAAGGAAATACGGGAAATTTTACACAAAATTGACTTTGGTTTTTGGTGTAACTTTAAAACAAATGACCGAAGATACATGACATTTTCACTAGTTGTTTATATTTCCATTTTCAATACATGATAAAATTTTCAAAATATTTTGATTTGTTTTGAATTGTTTAGGGACATTTTCAGTTTCCCATTTTATTAGTTTTTTTTTATGAATGTCAATAAAACTTTATTTGTTGAGTAAAAATAATTGAAAATTTAATGCAAGGCTCCTACTATATTGTTACAATGACATTTGAAAAATGTTAAAAATCCTTAGTCAGTTTTTTTTTTATAAAAATTTAAAGTTCAAAAATTGACACAATATGCAAAATCACAAAAATTAGCAAATTATTTTGAGTTAAGAATTCGTATAAATTTTTCTTTTTAAATCTAAGATTTTAAAATGTTATACAAGATTCCTTATAAGATTGTCTATCATTATCAAAAATAAAATGTCAATAAGAAAGTTTAATTTTTTTATGATTGTTTGAAATTCAAATTTTTACAATATTGGATATTTACTCGATTTCTCATGTAGCGATTTTCTTATTTTGTTGTAATTTAAATATGAATAACTGTAGATACACGAAAATTTCACTGAATGTTTATTTTATCAATTCTTATACTTGGTACAATTTTCAAAATATTTTGAGCTGTTTACAGACAATTTCATATTTCAATTTTATTTTTATTTTTTTTCTATAAATATCAATAATGTTGGGCCAAAAAGTGTAAAAATCTAATTCAAAGCTCCTGATAAATTGTTACAATAGCAGTTGAGAAATATTAAAAATGCATAGGCACAATTTTTTTTATAAGAATTTAAAGATCGAGTTTTGACAAAATTTATCAAATTTTCAACTTTGATATCTAAGAATTGAAAATTAAAAAACAAGATTCCACGTAAGTAGTTTATTCTGTTAACAAAAAATCTAAAAAAATACATAAGCACAGTTTATTTTTATAGTCATTTTAAGTTCAAATTTGGACGAAATTACATATTAAAAACCTAGAATAACTATTTTAGTTATTTTGTTGTGATTGTATATTATTCGTGGGTAATTGGAACTTCTAAAGTATACTATTTTATATCTTTTATAGTATCACGGTTTGTTGTTGATGTATAACAAGTTATAAGTACCTAATGGCTATTGTAATATGATTAATTTGGAATTTATTATAGGTACAATTTTTTTTTAATACAATAGGTAAGTATAAAATATGTTATACTTAGACTGACATACCGTCTCCACTTAGAACCGTTTTTCTTATACAATATTATATCATTGAATTCAAAATTAATACCATCCATTATACAGTGACCCCCTTTTTTATATTTATTTTGGTAAAAATTGATTTTCTCGGCCTAAAAGCTTGAAAGTGTAATATAGGATACCAATGTATTTGTTGTAAAGCATTTATAAATATTAAAAGTTTTGGTACATACACACAATTTTTATATAATGGAGTAGTATTTTTTTTTTTATTATATAGTTACAAGTTAATATTATGAAATTATTAAATATATATAATATATTATATTATTATAATTAGATCATAATATATCAATATAACTATATTCCAAAATAATATTTAATTGTATTTTGTTAATAAATTTGTATGTAAGTTGTTAACATTGGATGGTCATCTAGACACGGTGGTAGTTATTTGTTATTTCCCTACCACTAAGCTATAGTACCCTGCCACCAGTATTTAATATAAAAATTTGATATTTTTCTGTGTCATAATAATATAGAGTTTGTAATTTTAGTATGCGATTTATTTATTGAAAAAGATAAACAGTACTTATAATATTGGAAATAGATTGTATTATATTATAATGTTAGATATTGTCGGCTTGTAACTAAGATATTTACTAGCCTTTTATCAATAAAAACATAATATACTGAAAAGAAATCAGATGTCTGACACATTAAGGTATTATAAGGTTCTTTAGGAAATTATCTTATTTATATATTATTATGAAATATTAATTATTAACCATGTTACTATTAATTGTAAAGTATAATAATATTAATATTTAGTATTTACTTTTATTTGAAAGTTTTGTATCAGTATATAAAATTATTCAGAGTACCTGGTGGCAGTTACAAACAAGTACCATATTTAGAACTATAATTTTTTTCCTAAGATGTGATTGTGCACTAAGACTATAAGTTTATTTATTTAACAAATATTGAAAATTAAAATAATTATTCATAAACAATTATATTATGTTTTGTTCACTTACTTCTGTATCTTTGTTAGAGATTTCGGATTCTAAAGCTGACATAAATATAACACACATTGGACAATTATTTGAACTTTCACTATCTTTGTTTGAAGTTAAAGACAAATCTGTAACTGGGCATAATTTCAATTCTGGACAGATCTGAGCAAATAAATAAATAATTAATTATCATACTTAAGGCAAGAAAAACTATAATTGAGCACTCACAATTGATGGATCAACTTCTTGAGCTATAAGTGAAATAAAGGCATCTCCATATTGGTCGACAAACTGTTTACATTGTTGTTCAAATGACGATGGCACAACCAAGCATGACTTTTCTAATGCTGTACGGATTTCTGCTTCAGATTTTGGATCGGTTACTACTTGTTGAACATAATTTAAAATTGATTGGCACAAGAAGCATGTAGTTTTATCAGTAGGCATACTGACATCATTGACTATACAAAAATATAATTTGGTAATATTAGTAACAACTCATATTTCATGTAAACCAGCGGTTCTTAAACTGTAAGATTCTCTAATCTAAGGGGACTCCATGGACATATCTGAATTGAATTAAAATAAAACAATATTTGGTTCATGTTTATTTTATTAATAATAACCCGCATATTATTTTGTTTTATAGTCGAAAACAATATCAGTTATTTGTTGATAATTAAATTATTTATTTGGTTAAAAGCCCAAACATTACATGTTTTATACATATGTGGAATAATAACAGAATTGAGCAGTAAATTAAATAAATAGTAAAAAATAATAATACAAATTAATGAATTTAATAAAACATAAATTACTGAAAATATCTAATAATATAATTATGAAGACTCAATAGAGTTAAAATCTAATAAATATATTTACGTAACATTAACTAATCTTGTGAATCTAATTAAAGGAAGAATTATAGCATAGTAGTTCTGTGCATTAGTGTATAAAAAGTGTAAGTAATTATATTGCTTTAATCGCAAATGATTACGTTATAAAGAACCAAATTAATAAGCAAAACATTCATGCATAATTTTTCAAGAGTTATGTATATTTAATGGAGCATTTCTAATTTTTGGGGCTCTATAGAATTTCCTTAGCAACATAAGAGGGGTTTCACAAAAAAAAAAAAGTTTGAGAACTGCTGATGTAAACAATTAATTTATGCTATCTTACCAACAAAATGCATTTCCTTATAGAACACATCAATAACTGGAGATTTCTTAATGACATTAATATTTTCAACTTTAGGAGGTTGTTCATCAACCACGACGAGTGTAGGCTTATGTTCATTTTGCTCTTTTTTAGCAGTAAATGAACTATCTTCTTCAATTTTAGTGGCTTCTTGGGTTTGTAAAAGGTCAATTGGAACAAGCGGGTACATTGGCTAAATTAAGGGATATAATGTATAAAATATGATTTCCATTGATGTAAATACTAAATAGTTATTAACTTACTATAAAATAATTGAGATTATAACGAGAGTTAAGAGATTTGGGACAAATACCAACTATTGTACAAAGAACTTTTCCATTCAGTTCGCTAACAAGGAAACTATAGATACGTGAATAATTTTCATCAACTATTGCCAAACACTGAAAGAAAATATAATATTAAATACACTAATTACATAAAAACACAAATATTTGGACATACCTCAGTTGAAAAACTTCCTGTTTGCTTACAAAGACCTTTAAGTACGTCTGAGAATTGTTCTTCAGTTGTATTAGCTACCAAAATATCTCTCAAATGTTTGACCAAAGTTTCACAAAATTCACATGTCAATTCATCACTGACTCCATTAGATTTTTGGATTTGAATCCTACCTCGCTCTCCAGCATTACTAATTTCAACACCCATCAAAGCGTTCTTTGATTTCTGCAAAAAAATTTATTTATAGCAAAATATTTCTTGAAATATTAACTCAATTCTTACTTCATAACCATCAGCATGTGGATGGAATGCTGCTGAACACATACCACTCAACAAACATACATTACGTTTATTAAAACCATTTTTAACAGCATTGTATATTTCATTATGATATGTTAATACAATACTACTGCATGCATCGGAATAACTGCTCAGTTCTCCACACATCTAAGAAAAAAATTTACATAAATATAAGCAAACTTAACTTGTAAAATAACATAGATATAATGTTGAATACATATTCATTACTAAACTGACCATCAAGAATCTATTTAAAATATCATCTCTAGACATGCTCTGTACTAAATCTTCTCCTTTGTTCATGGCAATAGCGCATTTTTCACATGGGTGGTGTTCACTATCAACTGCTGGTTGCTACAATAAAAAAAGTTTAATTAGTACAAATAAAAAAATTTGATTAAATTGGTTACTTTTTCTTGATTTTCTAATAGAAGCTTATCAATGTGTGCATTATTGCACAAACCAGAAACTGTGCAAACAACATTTGGGTCCATTTGTGAAGCCAACGTATCAACGAGTTCAGGTATAAAATCATCCGATAATTTCTTACACTCCTTTTTAACTATTTTCAGTGGCAATAAATCACAAGATCCATCGAAGACTTCTTTCAATTCTTCCTAAAAGTTCAATCATTCAATTATTGTAAATTGTTTATTTTAAATATAGTACATTGGGTGACTACTATAATTTTTCTTAGGTAATTTATATGTTCACTTTTCAGGAAAACAGTATAACACAACTACTATTATATTTTTTTTTTATTACTTTGCTTCATTATTTGATTTTAACTCACGAATATGTAAATTAAAATGTTGTCAATATATTTAACATTTATAACTAACCAATGTAACATTACTGGTGAGTGTGTCACGAGCTTCTTTCACCATATTTTTACAAATTGTACAAATATCATCATTATCTTCCGGATATGTCTGTGTAACCCAAGTTGTTTGAATGCAATGTTTGACAGCGTTACAACCAGCAGCGTTACTAAAAAAATTTGTTTTATTAATTTTCATTGTTAATTTAAAATAATAAATTATTCAAATTTTAACTATTCCAGTTTATGTATTTAATAAATAAAATGTATCATACAGAAAAAATTGTAAAATTGTGAATGAGTAGCAGCAATGCGGGGGGCATAACTGACGTGGTATACGCATAACGGAAAAGATCCGTAAAAAGAATAGTCTATCCCACGACACAAGATCTGCCACTGTTTTCTATACTACCTAGTATAGGCGCAAATAGCATTTGGGATTTTGGGAGGCTATGGTCATTTTGGGGGGAGTTTAGCCCCAACCCCCCCTATTTTAGCCTATGCTACCTAGCTATAAATATGAGTATATTATGTGGTCTACCAATGATTTATGTTCTCCTATAGATGGAATATCTGCATCACTATGATTATCGTATTATTATTTTAGACCACTTTATACATTTTATCTTTATATCCCTAGTGATACACATTTTATGCATACATATCCCAGTGTTGATGAAAAAAATTATACCAACACGTCCCCTTAATGATTTTCATATTCAAAACAAAAATGTTGATATGAATATGGGATGCCTAGGTTTTTTGAAGGTCTATATGTAAACGTATATAGCGAACATTGTGTGGGTAGAAGAGGCATATTGTTGTGTAAAATAGTAAAACAGTTTCTGGGTCTGAAAGTAAATTGAATGTGCATTGAATGAATTTTCATGTATGGCAAATGAATAAACAAAGAAATTGATTGAAAAAAAAATTCTATACTTATCTGTCGATAAAAAATAATTTTTTATTTAGTAATATTTTTTTTTTAAACTGGATTAAATGATTACTAAGAAATAAATATACATATAAAAATCAATATTATAACTTATTAGATAATCTTTGAGACTATGCAAGATTCATAATATTCATAATTCATAAATTTATGAATACAATTTAAAGGTTATGGTTTTAACTTCAATACCAAATTATTGTTAAATAATATGAAATTAAAGATTACGTATTGTAAAACTATTTGAACTGATGACAACATGTTTACATAAAAACAGATGTACAAATACTACAAACACATTACAATAGAAAAAAATCATCCATAGAAAACAGTTAACTAAAATCAGCTTTTCTAAATCATTCTAAAGTTAATGAAATTAAAGATTATAATATTATATCTAGTTGCATTTAATAATTCTTCAATTAATACAAAACAAAAAAATAATTTTACATTTTGCATAAATTAGGTAGTAGGTAGTCTTTATACCAATTTATGAATTGGCTTGATTCATCAATTAGTCTAAAATTTAGATCAGTGGATTAGAAATTATCAAGTGTTAAAAAATAAATAAAATAAATGTAAGATAAATATTTCATAATAATTAAGTATTCAGTATTCACTTAATTTATTATGAACAGTTAGATAGAAATCAAGAAACAATTCTGTAGTAAACAAATTAATTTGAATTAAGACAAGTAGATATAATTATATAAGTTAATTTGTTTAGTAAGCAATTTAGATTAAATTATTAAATTATAATATAGATGTAATAATATTTTGTTCTTGAAGTAGGTACCTATTATAAAAATAGTTTGAGAAACATGATATAATATAATAGTGTAATTGTATGCTGTAACAATATAGTTCATTGTTCTTCAATTAACAACAAAATTAAAATACTTTTATAGCAAATTTTACAGATGCCATCTAATATCCTGGCATATAAAAATGTATTAAACCAGATGGATACAATTTATTATAGTAAGACATGTCAAGCGAGGATGCCTTAGTCATAAATGACTTATCAGAAGGTATACCTAGCATAGTTTCCTGTTTTTCAGGGTTATCCAGTTTTTTCATACAAATAATACTTTTATGCATTTGAAATAATAAATAAATATAGTTGGAATTATACATTTTTGTTTAGCACATTTTATTGATAACAATGCATTTACCTATATATCATTTTTTTTTTATTCATTAACATTAATGTGTTAAAAAATATATATTACCCAAGAACGCTACATTCTATTAAGTATTATTATTTATTACTAATGACACTTAATCTAAAGGTACTTGATATCATGACTGATAATTGGTTTATAGAAATATATTGATTGTAAAAAAACACATAACACTATATAATTTAAAATCAACCATAAATTATATACGTACCTAATCAGGTAATTAAAATGTATTCTATTGATTGTACACCCAAGATCGAAAACAACAATTATTTATAGGTATAGGTACTAAATTATCAAATGAAGAACTTTCTTATTTACCAACAAACTTTGTAAATAAGTATAAAACATATATACAAAAATATTGAAATTTGGTCATATTAAAATTGATTTGGTCAGCGTTTAACAGCAGTACCGAGCAATCAAATTTAGGTAGATCCCTCCTAATTATTGTTATTTTAAAATATTTTATAAGCATAATGTTTATCTTGCCAACATTAATGTGCATTATTATAATAAAGAGGAATAACTTACAATGGATATTTTGTTATTTATAATCCAAACTATATTTAGTGTTTTCATATCTAAATCTAATAAAATGTTACATAAAAACAATAAATTGTACTGTGACGTAGCCAAATATACCCGGGAGAGTAAATACAATATATGATATATATCTATATGTCATGCTCGGTAATCATGTGAGCTATAACTATTACTCACGTTATGTTTTTGCACCAAAACGCCGGGCCGTAAGTACATTCTTGCGAGCCGAGCATTTGGACATGTCTCTGGACGATGATGGTTTCAACATCAGCCGAAGCACCTGAGCAAGAAAAGAAAAAAAAATGTTAAAGTTGGCTAGGGGCAGCCTAACACATAGCGCACGGTGTTGTATTTTACGATAATAACGTCATACAACATTACAGGTGGTCGTCCGTAGTTCAGTACTTACCGGAGGACAGCAGTGCGACGAGGCCGAAAAAGGCCAGCGGCCCGCAAAGGCGAACACCACCCGCGGCAGCGGTCATCGTCAGGGTTCTTCTCGACGACGGTATTACGTTTATACGATTACGTTACACGAAAATATAATAATAATAATAATAATATTTATTGTACTGAATATTATTATGTTTTATGCGGATCGGACGTTGTACATCGAGCGGACAACGCGAGACGATGTGGTACCTACGTCGGTCTGGTCGCGACGGCAATAACGCAAGCAGCGATAACAATGACAATTCTTGTGAGTCTGACTACTCAGTCACAAAGGTCGGACGAACAGACGACCGCGAACGCGTCACCGCAACAGCGCAGCGTTAATACTATTATTGTGTAGACGGATTACGAAAAACACGACGACGACGACGACGACGGGACGGGCGGACGATAATAATAAATATGAAACGTGAAAACGTTTTTGTTTGAGGAGGGCTCGGGAGAAGTCGAGAGGAAAACAGGCGATATTACGACGATCACGACGGCCTCTGTTGCCGAATCGCGGGGAGGGGGGGATTGATAATAGCAATGATGTTGTCCGCGGCACTTCGATCGGATGGGTGTGCGGAGTGGTGGGGTGGACGTTATCAGCGGGAGGGGGTGGCAGTCCTACTGCAACTACGTAGTATGTAACAAAGCGTGTGTGGTGCACATATTATGGAATAATAATAATAATAATAAACCGCTGCTACGTCCAATCGCGTTCGTTATTGTAATGTTGTCACGTACATTATCTATATTATAGAAGTAATTATAATTGTATAATGAATGGTATTTTTAATTCTATGAACATGCAAGCCAGCTGATCACAATTAAACCGTCGTGACAATGTATCATCGAAGCATCTATCGATTTTCGAACAATTTATTATAAAATTATATTTTAATGATGACACTTTTTAGACAACTACCACCTATCTACCTCCTAGACGCGACCTTCGGACTTACATATGCACGACTCTAGCGTTTTCGGGTCACGCGAAAAACAAAACAACGGCCATTTGTAAGGCCATTTTCAAAAACAATCCAACGATGTTGCGTAAATGCTTAATAATAATACTTGATAATAAACGAAAATCAGTACAGCTTGTGGTTGGAACTTGGAAGTCACTAATAATTATTTTGATGCGTTGGTAGTAGGTACCTAACCAATAATACAAATTTACAATTATCTACTATTTGACAGGGCTACGGCTACAAAATAAAAAACAATTTTCTACAACCGTCGTCGTAGTCATCACTTAGGTCTTTTACGGCTATACAGGCCCTGCTTGATCTAATGAAAGGAAAATCTCAATCAAAACTGTTCGATCTGACATTGTCCACAAAAAGGGAATTCACATTTTTTTGAAACTTGAGTCTTGACATTTTAGTATTTTGTTGGAATGTGTAAACGTTTTTTGAATTTATAATGAATCTTATTTATTTTATTTTAGGATGAAATAGAAATATTTTATTAGTTAGAAAATAGAAATTATAGGAACCTATAATATTGTAGGCTAGGCTATAGGAAACGCTTGTGAAAATTAGCGGAATTCGTTTTATTGCATACTGGAATGCAAAATTGTGTCGGTCTTCTAGCTTAACATCATACATTATACATGTATTAATTATTAGGGAGGTACTAACAAAAATGTATGCCAATGCTCTATAATAATTGCATCACTTCAGAAAAGTGTTTAAAATTATGGTTTTATTTTCGTTTTACGTTTATCTAAAACCGTTAGGTACAACCATTTATAAATTATACTTCTAATTTTTAATTCAAGATTCGTAAATATTTTTTTATACAGGTTTTGAAATAATTTTAACTTATTAAATATAATATATAATAATATATAATATATTTTTATTATCTTGAATACCTATAGCACAGAAAAATAGTTACCTACTGTTAAAACTTAACATACCTATATAATTATATAAAGATAAGACTGCTAAGAAAGCGTCGTACACCACGGTCCCCGGTACAATGTAACTACATTGTCTATTATATAGGTATCAAACAAATAACAATGTCCACATTGTATGATATATATATTTTATGCAGGGCGTATCTTATGTCGTCATACCCATACGCGTGGTTTTTTAATGTTGTAAATCGATATTGGATAATACGAAATTTCAAAAAAACGAAAAAATACGAATTTCTTCTGGGGTTGAAAAATGTTTTCCGTCCCATAATACAAATTGTTCACACCGCCACTAATCCCAAGTATACTAATTGCAACTGTTTAAAAATATAAATTGTTTACATAAATTTCTACTTAACGATTTTGCAGACTACGCGTCATCGGAAATGGGTTTTTGACGATTGATTGTCGTATACAAACCATACGAATTACGATTTACGGTGTAACAAACCAACAAAATTATGTGATTCACGACACTACGTGCTATGCATTTCTTCAGTTTGTGTGATCAACGATCGTTGCTCGTATAATGAGTTAATATAGTTATTATAATTTATAATATTATAATAATAATAATTTATATATTCATATTTTAAAAGCGTTTTATCATTCGTACACACATAGTTAGTTATCATAATATCCTATATATAATGTATAGCAGCCGTACGTTGTAATTTTGTAAATTTGTTTTTACTGTTTAGTGTTTACACATTCTGCGTCGGCCGATTAACGTTTTTCGATGACTGTACATTTTTAATTTTATTTTTATCATACTTATAGGCTGTTGTGAATAATAGTAAGTAGTTACTTCGATATGGTACTCTGCTATAGTAGGTAAGTTTAGTCCGCCTTGTGTGTGGCCTGCGACTAACAATAATGTTGGCTGAACGGAACACAAGCCACAACGATTGTCGTCTGTGTTAATGTTTATGCGTTATTGCCAAGCATTCATAATATAATATACATAATAAATTGCTTTTGATTTATTTAAAAACAAATGAACAATTCGTGTCCAAAAAGAAACATTTCTTTTATGAGACTATTATTGACTATTGGATCGTCAAACTGTTTTGAATTTGGATAAAAGGCTTTTTGTTATTTATGTTATTACTTATTATTATTTGTATGTGTATACAGAGTGTGATAGAAAGACCCGACAAATTAAATAACTTTTGTTCTAATCAATATGTTTTATTTATTTATTTATTATAATTTATATTGATGCTTCCACTACACATAAAGTACCTATTACATTTTTATTTTTATTTTTTAATACTGAAATTAAAATTTTATATCTAATATAAATTAAGTCAATAAGTTATAAACAAAAGTTATTTAATTTATCAGGTCTTTCTATTACACTGTACCTACTACCTAGTGGCAAAAAAAGTGATATACCTACTGATATCACTGATATCTATATAATTACCTATATAATTTATACAAACAGCAATAATGCAGACATAAAATATATTACATAGTTGCGTCTCCTAACCTCTTTCAATATTTCACATAGAAGACGCTGTTGTGATGTAAACATAAATAATACCATGGCATTTTCCATTGGATAAAGAATAAATAATATAAAATATATAGGTATATAACGCACGTCGTCGCACAGATGCCAAGAGGTATTTGTTATGATCTTATACTCTTGTGTAGTTTTGTATGTGTATATTATACGTTTTACATAAAGACGTGCATTAAGTACTCACGTCTTTTTCGATTCGTTGAATTCCTGGAATGTTGATCTTGAAAAAAACCGAAAAACGTCCCCTGAAAGATGATCACAAAACACTGTTCATTCACTAGATATTTTTGGGGATATATTTTCAGGTTCCTACCATAAAGTACCATCGCTACCTATAGTATCTTTTCTTCTCTGTAAGATTTAAACCATTATTATTCTATATAGACATATACATTATACATTTATACATGGTTATTGGTTATTAATATTTTATTACTCATAACCTATATAAGTATATCGAGTTGTTGGCCATCTGACACTGATTTTTAGATTGTAAGTATCTATCCAATTTATTTGAAAGGAATTCCACTTAATACAATAATATAGAAAACACCGTTGCTACTCTTTCAGATATAATAATATTACCGAGGTTGGGGTGTCATATACTTTTATTGGTACTAAGTATAAAATACAACTGAATATTTTATTAAACTACTTTATAAAATACATTAATAATTCTACTGCAGACTAATATGTTTACATGTTTATTGAATTAAAATATAATTTTCATTTACTTTTTTGGAGTTATGATTTTTGACCAATCATTTGACCCTTATAAGTTATAATAACTAGTAAGTATTAAGTATATTAATTGAATACAAAAATTAAATTAGCCGAAATACAATTTCAAAACCTTCTTAATAGATTTTTTGTGTACAAAAAACATGTGGATTTGAGGGTCTACAATAAACCCCTATAGCATAAGCTATATATGATTCATTTAGTTTCATTAACAAATGCTGGTAGGGCATGTTGTGAAATAGTATTCTAGACCTTTAATACTTAAGGCTTTATTAAACAAAAACGTGGTGCACATTATTACATTATTACACAATAAACTACATGACATTGCAACTTATAATATTATTATGAAACAGATAAAGAATATAGTTAAGATATAATAAATAGGAATATAATAGATAAGATAACAATATTACTTTATCACATTCTCCCTAGCATAGAAAATACTAATTATTAATTAGTGACATAGTCTTTTAAGTATTTAGGGGTTGATTTATTTCTGGTGGTTCTCCGAGGTCCATCAAGTTCATTTGATGTTCCTTCTGTACTAGCATCTGTTTGAATCATCTCTTCCTTTGGCTCACTTGTGGTTGGAGTGTCTTGAAGTGTTGTTTTTGGATCTATTCTGTCTGAAGGTTCTTCATATAATGTTCTGTCACCCACAGGTGCTAGATCTCTTAACGAAACATTTGACTCTCTACCATTTTCATAGCGTACTAAAGCGTATTCAGGATTTACTTCGACTAAATCCACTTCTTCCACTAATGGCTCGTACTTTGAAGCACGTACATGTTTCTTTATGAAGACTTTCCCGGGGCAGCTGAGCCATGACGGAAGTGTTCCACCATTTGAAGAGCGCCGAGGATGAGCGAAAAATCGTTCGTGTGGTGTACAATTGGTAGCAGTACATAGCAAAGACCGAATGGAATGTAAGGCATCAGCTATTACAGCTTCCCACTGTTCTAATTTCAATCCTCTTGTTTTTATAGCCAACTGGACAGTCTTCCAGATAATTCCGTTATACCGTTCGACCTGACCATTCCCTGCGGGATTATAGGGCGTTGTACGGCTAGTGGCAATGCCTCGGGTACACAGGAAAGTTGTGAGCTCTTGAGAGAGAAAAGCTGCTCCTCGATCTGAATGAATATATGCTGGCATACCAAATATAGAAAATAGGTAGGACAGACACTTTATCACTGTGGCTGAGCTCAGATCCCTGCATGGTATGGCAAAAGGAAAGCGTGAAAACTCGTCTACGATTGTAAGGATATAATTATTTCCAGTCTTAGATGGTATCGGTCCCTTGAAATCAATATTCAATCGCTCGAATGGTGAAGTAGCTTTTATAAGATGACCTTCTTGTTTTTTGTAGAACCTTGGTTTTACTTCTGCACATACATTACAGCTACTGGTCAACTTCTTTATATCTTCAATCGAAAATGGTAGATTCTTACTCTTGATCCAGTGGAACATTCTAGTAACACCTGGATGACATAGAGATTTGTGTAAATCAGATAACATGTTAGAGTTATTTACAACAGCGCATACTCTTGAGAAAGTGTCAGCCACAGTGTTTTCCTTTCCTGGGCGATATTGTATGTCAAAACTAAAACAAGAAAGCTCAAGTCTCCATCTAATAATTTTATCATTTTTAATTTTACTTGAATGTTTCAAGTTAAACATAAAAGATACGGCTTCTTGATCCGTTATAAGTTTGAACTGCCTCCCTATTAAAAAATGTCTCCATTTTCTTAATGCCTCTACAATTGCATAAGCTTCTTTTTCTATAGATGGGTGTTTCTTTTCACAATTCGAGAGACTTCTTGAGAAAAATGCTATAGGGTGCCCATTCTGACTAAGTGTTGCTGCTAACGCATGGTTTGAGGCATCGCTCTCAACTACTAAGGGCTCATCACCACTGATAGAACTTATTACTGAATTGGCAATGTCTAGCTTGATACTTTCAAAATCAGCAATTGCAGATGATGACATAGGGAATGACTTACAAAGTATTAGATTATGGATTTTGTCTGAGAATTTTCTAACCCACTTTCAATAATGAGAAAACATACCTAAAACCCTCTTTAATGATTTGGCGTCCTTGGGTGGAGGTAGATTCAAAAGAGGCTTCAATCGATCTGGGTCTGGACTTACACTTTTATTCGTGATCTGGTGTCCAAGAAGTGTAATTGTTTGCATAGAATACTGACATTTATTTTCATTTAGTATGAGTCCATAATTTTTCATTGCATTGAGAAATTTATTCAGGTTCAGGTCATGCTCAGACTGATTTTTTCCACATATTGTTATATCGTCTAAATAAGCGTATACTCCATTTAGGTTCTCATTTGATATTATTTTATCCATCACTCTTTGGAAACAGGCCACTCCATTTGTCACTCCAAAAGGGATTTTCCGAAAATGATAAAGGCGACCAGCAGCCTCAAAAGCTGTATAATCTCTTTCCTCCTCGTGGATCGGTATCTGATGGTATGCATTATGTAAATCTATAGTACTATATATACTATATTGGGCTACTTTGGAAACTAGGTCATTTATATTTGGTAGAGGATAGGCATCTAACATTGTGAACCTATTAATTGTTTGAGAGTAATCGATTACCATGCGTTTTTTATGGTTTTCAGTTTTTGTAACTAATACCTGGGCTCGCCATGGCGACATACTCTCCTCAATAACATTTTCATTCAATAATTTAATTATTTCATCCTTGATAAATGTATAGTCCTCCTCAGAATATTGGCGTAATTTGACAGCTATAGGTTTGCAGTTGGAAGCTAGGTTCTTGAAAAGGCGAGGAGGTTCTATTACAAATGAGGGCATGGGTTTTATTACATTTGGTTCTATTGCTGTTGAAGACATATTACAGATTAATAAAGGGGATTTAGGCCCGCCAAAGGTAACTTCTACTTTAGAGTGTTTCTGTAATATATCATGACCTATGAGAACATCAGTGCATAATTTTGACAGTACTGATAATTTGACATCTTTATACACGTGCCCTTGCAATGATAAGTCTACGCAAACAAACCCTTTTAAGTGTGATGAATGCTCTGCAGATGCTAAAACTACCTGTCCCTTCTTAGGAAATACCTTTATTTTATGATACTGGACAAATTCATCATCTATGAAGCTACTTGAACCTCCAGTATCCACTAGACCATTTGCTTCCATATCATTGACTCTAACTTTAATAACTGTTTTTGATAGAGCACCCGGTAAGTTTGCAGAGATGCAGGCTAGATTTGCAATAAAAGCCGAAGTAGTTGTATTAGACTTATTTGAGTTTTGAGTTTTCTTTAATTTGCAAACTTTGGAGAAATGACCTTTTTTGTCACAATTCCTACACACAGCTTCCCTAGCTGGACAAGAGCTACGCGGATGCCGGTCATACCCGCAAAAAAAACATTTTTGTCGGATGGCTGCGATCATTGATTCAGATTGTTCGTCTTCTGCTTCGGTATTTACATGATTTATAGATTCTACAGGCATAGAGTAGGCTTCAGACTGCTTTTGTGCCATCTCTAGCGCTCGTGACTGCATCACTGCTCGTTCTAGACTTAGTTCGTCGTTTTCTAACAGACGTTGACGGATGCTATTAGACATGATACCATTAATGAATGCGTCTCTTATGTACTCATCCTTATACTGTGAGGGACTAACGGCTTTAAATGTACATTCCTTAGCTAAAATCTTTAGAGACTGCAAGTATTGGTCAATAGATTCACTTGTCAGTTGTTTCTTTGTGGCTAATAGATGTCTGGCAAATATTTCATTTTTAGGCTTTATATAAATACCATCTAGAATTTTAATAGCATCACTGAAATCTTTACAGTCGCTTATATGGTCATACACTGAGTGGCTTAAAAAGTTAATGAGTACCTTTAATTTATCCTCCTCTTTTAGTTTGGCCTCTGCAATATAATTTTGGAACAATTTCTTCCAATGAGACCACTCCTTGGCTGCTGTGGGTGAATTTTGGTCTGCTTCAAAACGATCGGGTCTCAGCAGTTTTTCCATATTGATTAATAAGTTTTTGTTTAATAAATTGTTGTGAAATAGTATTCTAGACCTTTAATACTTAAGGCTTTATTAAACAAAAACGTGGTGCACATTATTACATTATTACACAATAAACTACATGACATTGCAACTTATAATATTATTATGAAACAGATAAAGAATATAGTTAAGATATAATAAATAGGAATATAATAGATAAGATAACAATATTACTTTATCACAGGGCAGTAGGCACTTATTATATTTATATATAGGTTAACACTAAGACATGTATACACTATACACTATATGTCTATATCATACCGGATGTCCGTATACATACAAGCATTCAGCAAACACATTATACAATACTGTTTTATATATTATATACGATCACTGGTTCAGCAATTATTGATTTTTTTTATTAACTATTATAGGTGCCTATCTAGGTATAGGTACTACATTAGGTATTAAAATATTTGAAAACAAAACACACAGGGATATATTATTTCTTCATAATATGTCGTCAATATTTTATTTATTTTAATCACAAAAATCTTAAATAATATTATTTATTAAGTAGGTATTTATATTGATAACCAAAAACGCAAAATATTCTATAGAAATATGACAGCAACACGTTCCGTGGACAGCAATAATAAATTTAAATTTTATTTGATAACAGATTACAGAAGTAAACCCGAGTACCAGAGTACCTATCTGACAACAGAGCCATGTGATGTAGAAGCATAGAAACGTAGTGGTAGTTTTAAATATATTATTCAACTTATAGCCTGTAAAATAGGTACCTATAATATAATACCTATCTATTATATGTATCGTGTTTTTGAGTAGGTAAATTACAAATTACAATCTACATACATTGTTATTTGTTATGTATTCGTATTTAGTTATTACAGGAACACAATACGTATCTAGATTTTTTGGGGGAATGTCACAAAAAATTATAATATATATTTTATTACTAGATAATGTCGACAAATTAAAAATATATAGTTTAGGTTATAAAAAAAATTATCTTATGTGCATAAACAAACAGCCAATTATAAGACATTCATAAAGGTACCTACATATTGTATTTTATAAGGAAATATAGCCTATAGGTAATTTTGTACCTACCTAACGAAAAACTAGCTATGATCATATATTTTAAATTTAATGTAATAAAACAGAATCTTAGGCATTATAATATGAATTATAGTTTATACTATTATAATATAATATGTATATATTGTATATAATATTCATATACTTATATTTATATATAAAAGGTATATTGCATATGTATTATGTGTGTGTGATTGTGTGAACAAAGAATGTTTGAATGTTTGATCGATAATACTTTGTTTGTATAATATAGTACCTACTTCTATAATATGTGGTTTACTTAAGACGCGCACTGAGAATGGACGCCGTAACTCAAAAAGCAATGACAAAAAAGTCAAACTTGTAAGTATTACAGGTAGTTATATATATTACTATACGTGTATAGAAGGCATAGTAAAAAAATATATTTTGTAAACGAAAAGTGTCTTTTTTATATTGCGTGATGTGTAATTTATACATATATTTGTACAATATTTACGGCGTAGATGCCAAAAATAGCGTGTTTTTAGAAAATAACAAAAATGAATTGAATAATGTTGGTGACGGTTTTTTTGATGTAGGTACTAAGTCGTAAGTGCAATATTAAAGTATATTATTGGTGTTTAGTCTCATGCGTTGTGTTGTAGGTAGTGAAATTCGTTTAAAAAATAATTCGTTGTCCCTATAATATACACACACAGCCAGTGCCTACTGCCTAGTAGGTCGTCCACCGTATCAGATTATCAAGTAAGATTTTAGAAATATGTTTAAATATTAACAATAGCTAACATGTAATTGTATGCATTAGATAGGTACGACCTATAATATTATGTTTACACTTTACATGTACTTTATAGTTTACAGTATACTATAATAATATATAATAATTAATAATAATACTATAATATTATATATTAGTATCTATTGTAATTTGTAGCTTAATGTACCCCAGGTCCCAGATCACTGTATCCAATAGGTTCTATGATTGTAAAATTATTTACTATTCACTCATAGTGAAAGTTGAAGTGTCTTAACGCCATTTATTCATTATTATAGAAGCAAAATACCAAATGATAATTTAATAATCAATTATTAATAAAGTATAAGGAGTTTATTTCATCATTCAGTGGTCAGTGGCATATTTAAAACTCATCAAATAGGGGGGGGGGTTAAAAATTGTACACTCACAAAGTCAACACTCGATAATCATATTTTGTCCGATGACAGATTTATCTTTTAGTTTGGAGCTCTGTATTCCCAAATGTAATTATATGTCTTTAACGCGTTTTCAAAGCCCTATTCGGCATGATTATCTATAGTTGATGGTACCAGTTTAAGTTTTTCTGGTAGTCATGTAGTTGACCTAGGTATCACATTTGACCGGACTTTAAGTTTTCATCTCCATATTGAAAAAATCAAGTGCAAGGCTTTGAAAATGCTTGGTTTCATAAAAAGAATTTAATCTGAGTTCAATATGTGTAGTTCTTTAAAAGCGCTTTATTGTGCATTTGTACGATCCCACCTTGAATACGGTGCAGTGATCTGCAGGGACCCTCAGAATTTACGTGACTCTTGCCAAATCGAGCGTGTTCAGCGTAAATTTCTAAAATATGCTTCTGCATATTGACTGCCTTCCACACGATTATACCAGTTCTAGTGAAATTAAATGTGGGGAAGTTGAAGCTCCAGATATGTTAGGGAGGATTAATATTTTAATGTTCCCGGTGCTAATTTGCGCAACTTTTCTCCTTTCCGGGTCCCGCTTTGTGCGACAAATTTTTTATATAATGAAACCATTTTGAGTATGATGATATTACTATTAGCTAATGGAGGCAATTACATATAAACAACTTCTTGTGTCTAATTATTTTGTATTATATTATTGTTTGTTAAATATTATGTATGTACTATAGTGTATTATTACTATTAATTATTAATGTTATATAAATGTCAAGGGCCTGTCCCGTTTACTATTATAATAAATAAATAAATAAATCATTTTATCTTATTTTCTTATAACCCATGAAGGCTATATTATAGTGACATTTCTTCATGCTTATATGACATTCTAAAAAGTTTAAAAAAATACAAGAAATTATTATTTTTAGTAATAATTTAGTTATAGGTTATAGGTACCTACTATACCAATATTTATTTATTTTCAATATTACACACCAATCTGGCAATCTATGACTGATCGGACTTCAATATCTTTACGTTTATCGGATATCATGATATATTTAATGACGCCAAATGTCAAATACAAGTTAGTTTCAAATAGTTTGAAATATATGAGTACAAATGGCCCGATTTCCTTTTCAGTTTAGAGTTATCAGTTTATCACTACTACTGCTTGGTAATTGCTTATTCTATTTAGCTTATAGAAAAAAAATACAAATTATCAATATAGGTACACCCACGCCTTTAGATTATTATTAATATGTACCACATAATAAATTATTTATAAAAATAGACCACCGTTAAAAAGTCCAATGTTGGTGGTGATGGGGCCCATTGGCTATCTACCCATTGCCACGATCAGTATTCTCTCTAATAGTCCAGCAAAACAAAGTCCGATGGAATAAAGTCCACTAAAAAATCAAATATTTGAACTTTTTGTAACGGTATATAAAAAATAACATAGAACTCTAATAGAAGTATAGAACCTTGGACACTGTATGGACAGTCACTGTCGCAGATATTGTTATCGGACCCATGACTAACAGACAAATATATTTTGTCATGATCGGACCGCTATCGGTTATCGGTTAGGTTAGGTACAAGTACTAAAAAGTGAAAAATTTACAATTTACAATGTAGTATATATTTTATAAGATATTATTCAGAGTACCTACATCTAATGCACTATAATAATATACTTTATAGACTTATAGTATACCGACTGGCTGGGAGTATTCGTTCACTCCTATAGTAGGTACCTAACTCGAAAATTTGTGATTAGGTGGCTGGAAGTATAACCGGGGGGAAATGGGGAATGTCCAAATTAAACTTTATTCTGTTATTTTGACAGTTAGTATACCTACTGTCATTATTAATAGTTTAGAATAACAATAATATTTAGTCAAGTATTGAATTGTGTAATTTAAAAGATAAAATAATATTATAAGTAGCCAACTAGACCTGCTCAACAAAATTTACCTAACTTAATAAAATCACTTATAAACAATAATTTTATACAAGTATTAAATTCGGGTACTCTTGGACTTTTATTCCATTTGGACTTTTTTTCGTCTGACTTTAATTTATGTTGTTATGTCGGTAAAATATAAATTGGTTTGAAAATAAAATAAATATTGAGTAGGTACCATTTTATTTTAAGCATTTGGTAATGAATACAGATTATACTGAACTAATAGATATTTTTTAAACAATATTGAATTAATTCAAATTTTTCTTTAATTTTTTGTTATCCTGTACAAATACCACAATCACCACTTTCTATAGGCTGCAATGCTGCATAATCTTATATAAATATAAATTATAATAATAACTAATAATACAAATATTGCCATGTATTTATAAGTGTTTTTGTAAGTGTAGAATAATATAAAGTGATTTTTTACTCACCTATTATTGATAAAAACTTTGTTGTCAAATGCCAATAATGTAAGATGTGACATAAATCCAGAATCCCCCTATCGGTTATAGCATATTATAATAGTATAATAATATAATATATTAGTCAACAGTTGTCATGATCATTTTGCATGGTTTATGGCATATGCTTAGGTTAAAACTTAAAACACACGTCACACGGTACAGTTATGTTTTGATTTTTGTTTCAATAGATAGGTAGGTACTCCGTACTCAGGCGATATGTGTTTATTTTAATGATTAGGTACGTCGATTGACGATTGTGGTAATCTAATTACCTGCAATAGTGAAGTCATATGATGTATATTATTATTATAATTTAAAAACAAATAATAAAATTATGCGAATGATTCGACAAGCGAAGAGTGTGCCAAAGATAAAAATGACTATATATTTTTTATCCAAGAAGAAAATCCGTTAATGGTAGAGCTATCTAGCGGCTCAAGTCAACGTCAGTCTTCGCGGACGCGTTGAGTATAATATTCACAGACCTGTAAAATATTCTTTAATTTATCTTTCTTTAATAAATCTTTTATAGGTCTATGAGTTTTATATTATTATAACATAGAGTTAAAAACAACGACGGCGGGTAGTACGTATAGTAAATAGTTATAGTCGTTGACTTTAATCTAGAGGGATTTAAATTTTATTTAAATTTATAAGTGTCTGCCTCCCACATAACCATGTTAAGAATTATGCCCGCCTGATACCTGGACGTCGATTAATGCTCATACACACTAGCTGAGGCCAAAGGATGACAGCTTCAGTGCTTCACTGGTCATTACTCATCAGGCTTTTCGTGATGTATAGTTGTTTCTTCAATAAATGATTATGCGTAGCAGCAATTCTTACGAAAGTTGTGAATCTCTATAATCCCTATGCTGCGGTTACAAAAAAAAAGTAGGTACAATAAGTACAAACATGGGATAAACACAGTGTAAAACATAGGGAATGTACAGCGATTGGAGGAGGGGGCAAATGCCCCCTTTGCCCCCCTGTATATGCCACTGGCTCGTGTAGTTTCATAGGTAGGTACCTACTTACTTATAACTCCTGTTGGATCTTCTTTTTTGACCTCATGTTAGACATTGTTTTGTAACTCATGGTGCCTGGTGAATCTTCTTCAACCTCTCCTATAAGACTTTCCATGACAAACTGAAGGCGGGTTTCCACTATACACGTTTGCCGTGTACACGAAAAATGTTCAGCTATGTCCAACAACACGGTATCATAGTTAATCGTGTGGTAACTTAACCTAACCAACCAATCGCAGCAAAGGATTTGTATGCACGTACACATGTACGTGTATAGTGGAAATCCGTCTTGAGGTCTGTGAGACGCGCGTATCTATACCGTGGTCGTGGTGACCACCTCAAAACAGTTGGTGGCTAACTCTGCCACTCTGTACGTTGTTACACTGTGTCACTGTCACTATATGAAACATGCCAACTCCTCAGTGACTTGTATATAGTATGTAGTCGTTTGTGATTGGTACTTAGCTGACTTATTGGGGAACAAATCTAGTTTACGGCCCAAGCTCATTTTTCAATTTTTTTTTTTCAAAATGTGGGTTTTAACTTTATAAGGCACTGAATTTGAATATGTTTGAAAAAATTGACGCTCTTTTTCATTACGGAAGTTAAACCAAAAAAAATCGGAAAACAATTGATTCTTTAAAACATCCTGGTAACCTCGATAAAAATAATAAAAAATTACTTTTTTGACAAATTTTTATTTTTAACATGTGTGTGTTGGTACGCTTAAGCTTTTGAAGTAATCGCATTTTCCCTATTGTACTTACTTTTGATGGTATACCAGTAAAACCGAACAACAATTGACTTTTAAAAATATCATGGTATCCTCGGTATAAATATTATAACCAAGTATTTGAAAAAACTCCCGGAAATTTACCGTTCAAAAGTTATGGAAATTAAAAGTTGCAGTGATTACGAGTGTCGGCACTCGTCGCTCCGCTCCTCAAATCGAAAATATATTTGCTGTGTAAACTACCTCAGGTAAACCTTGGTTTTCCTCGATATTGTTATTTATTCTAAGTACAGTTATCGCCACCGTGGTCACTAGCTCGTCCATTAAAAAGTATATATTAATATTGACAACTTTGAATTGCCATAACTTTTGAACGGTAAGTTTCCGAAAATTTTTTCAAACACTTGAATTCAGCATAAAAAACCACGTAATTTGAAGAAAAAAAAAGGGTGTCCGGAAAAGTAGGTTTATACCAAATGTGATTGCATCAAAACCTTAGGCGTACCAAAACACACATTTAAAAAAAAAAGTAGTTTTTGGTTATTTTTATTAACGAGAATACCATCATGATATTTTTAAAAATCAATTGTTTTCTGGTTTTTTTTGGTATACCATCAAAGTAAGAACAGTATGGAAAATGTGATTACTTCAAAAGCTTAGGCGTTCCAAAACAAGCTTGTACAAAAAAAAAAAATTAGTGCAAAAAGTAATTTTTTATTGTTTTTATCCAGGTTACCAAAATGTTTTAAAAAATCAATTGTTTTTCCGTTTTTTTTTTTGGTAAAACTTCCGTAATAAAAAAGAGCGACAAATTTTTCAAACATATTCAAATTCAGTGGCATAAAACTCACATTTTGAAAAAAAAAAAATTAAAAACGAGCTTGGGCCTTAAACTAGATTTATACAAATTTTTTTTTTTATTCAATGAAAAATAGAATTACCCACTAGTAATTGAAATGTTAACTGTACTCTGTAGGAAATCTGCAGGGAGTAAAGTTTCAAGAGGGTCTAAACAATGGCCACCAGCAAAAACGGTAAATTCAAAACGCAGTCAATCATCTGAACTTCGTTCAACCAAGTTAATGTCAAAAGTAAAACCCATCGTTCCTCCAAACTTTGTAGAAAATTTATTTAAGCAGACACGGTTTACGAAGTAAGTACTTACACTGCCGTAATTCGTAAAGGTATATCGTAGGTATATGAATACAAAATTTAGTTTCTTAATATTTTAATATTATAGATACAGCCTTAAAGGCGTAGTATATAGGGCGACACGTCAAAATATCCCCGACAAAATATTCCGCTTAATTATTAATTATTTATTTAAATTAACATTTACTGAATCCAAAAAATGAATTAAGACATTTTTAAAAATATATTAAAATGGTATGTTTTCCGTCAAAAATTATTATACTCATTACTTATTAGTTATTATAATACTAAGTTGTGTGCTATTGATTTTAAGGGGATTGGAAGCGGCGATTTTCTGTCTTTATCTAACACACGTGGAACATAGGATTATAGACGTGTTCTATGTCCAACGTACCGATTAATCTAATGAAGCGATAAGAATTCTGAAAACAGATTTGAATTTGTCGTCAAGTCTACTTGAGATCGACTTTCCCACATTTTTGATTTTTTTGATTTAAACTTCTCCAAAAGTTGAAATTTGTAAATTTTTTAAGTACTTTTTATAATATATCATTTTTATGATTTTGGTGGGACAATATCAAAAATGTGGGAAAGTCGATCTCAAGTAGACTTGACGACAAATTCAAATCTGTTTTCAGAATTCTTATCGCTTCATTAGATTAATCGGTACGTTGGACATAGAACACGTCTATAATCCTATGTTCCACGTGTGTTAGATAAAGACAGAAAATCGCCGCTTCCAATCCCCTTAAATATTTATTGTTATTAGTTTCGTCATATCCTTTTACAACAGCAATTAACTGCACGTCCAAATTTTTATACTTTCGCCTTTTTTTTTTTTGTTGAGGTGCTCCATTTGGCCTCCTGCAGACCTTGATCTCGCTTTAACATATTTATGAACTTCCACACTGTTAGGTACATGGTTAGCTTTTCTTTATACTCCGTGCAACGCCAAATTATTTTTTCTTCACTCTTTCGGTGTATCCTTCAAAATATTAGTAAATTATTGTCTTTTTGGCTTTTGATAAATTCTAGCATTTTTTAATTAAATAAAAAGTGTTGGTTAAATAATTTGATTTAAGACTGTTACCTAAACGCTCACGACACACACTGTAGGTAATGATATAAAATGACACACTAAAATACCATCATCAAAATAACGAATAATACTAGATTAGATAAAGTGCAGTTATTACTTCTAATCGCAACAGTTATTATATTATAATATTTTGACGGGGATATTCTTACGCGGGATATTTTGTCATGGAATATTTTTGAGGGGATATTTTGTAGTGGAACCATTATATAGCTATGTTTAAACATATGTCATATAGGTATTACAAATTACTTGTATACGTAGGTACCTATAGTTATAATTTATATTGTCTAAATAAGCTAATCCTTACATTGTTAATTAGTTTTAAATTACAAGACTGTAAAATATGATATTACCTGCACTAGTATGTACACTGCAACGTATTTGTATTTTAGGAAAGAAATCGTCGGATTGTGTAAACTATTTAAAAAACTCGTCGCTATTTATGGCGCCGAATCAACGTCTTCGGTAGCGGCAATGAGCTCGGTTGTTTTAATAACGATACCAACGCAGGTTATATATTTTACTGCCTTGCATAATGTCTAAAATGTTTTTTTACATTTTTTGTTTTCGTAGGGTTTCGACCGGCTGATGTTCAGAGAATTCCTGCAAAACGAATTCGGCATTACAACCGAGGAGATTTTGACGGATCGCATATTTTGTTTTTTCGATCAACGAAATGACGGCGTCATACACGAAGACGAATGGATAACTGGGCTGTCGGTGTTGCTGAGAGGCACTCAGGACGAACGGATCAAATACACCTTTACCATATACGACCTAAACAACGACGGATTTATAACTAAAGAAGAGATTTTCAGTTTGTTAAGGTTTAAGAACCCGGCTGTATATTATCACGGTTTTAACGTTGCCCAACTCCATAGGCGCAATAGCTGGAATTTGGGGGGGGGCTTAAGCAAAAGCCTTACTTTGATATCTTTGAATAAGCTTAACACAAAATATAGGAAAGGTTTGGGGGCTTAGCCCCTAAAGCTCCCCCATATTTGCGCCTATGCCTAACTTACTTGCTTACCTATACCATTAATTTTAAAACCAATGCCCATACATTCAACATTGATAAAATGTCAGACAATAGTACTATAATATTTTTAAGTAGTTAATAAATATACAGAATTTCACGTTTCAGGAACTGTTTGGTCAAACATCCGCAAGACGAGGATCCAGACGAAGGCGTACGAGAACTTGTCGACATTGTATTGCGAAAAATGGATTGTGACAACGATACAAAACTTTCTTTTGAAGATTTTTCAACGTCTGTTAACAAACAATCGTTATTGCTTGAAGCTTTTGGACAATGTTTACCATCTAGAGAAATTTCTGAGAGCTTTTTGAACTCTATTAGCAGTGTGCAGTAAATATTTGATATGATTTCAACAGTTAACTAATAAGATTAATGTAATTATTTAGAAATTTTGTTCGGTCATACCCTATTATTATCAAAATTTTTTAAGATTTATGATCGAAATAATGTTATAATAGCTATTACTTATTCCTTATTAGTTTTTCCTATTGGTTTATTACTTAACATTAACATAGATACATACAATTATGAAGTTTACAATTAAAATGCTTTAAATAAGTAGTGTAATAATTGGTTTTTTTTTTACTAATGATTAATACATGTCTTGTACATTTTTTAGTCTAATTCGCTAAGGAAATGAAATAAATTTTCCTAGTGAAAGTGATACCAAAAAACTAAAAGATGATATTCCTATTATCTCTAAATATACAATGTATTTATTAATTTTATCTAATATGTTTAATAATTATTTATTTGTTTGAAGATAATATACTCCATTCATTTTTTAAATGTATTTTAAGTTTTTCTGTACTTACAATTTAGACATGCATAACAAAAAATTATCTAATCTAAGTCTATAAAACAGAAACACGAGTGGCGCCGCCTATGTGTTAAATCCGAACTGCTATAGTGAACAATGGAACGGATGGCGGGAAATCGCCGCGGCGTTATCACTCCTCCTTATCGCTTTTTTAAGTCCACTTAGAAGACCCCCCACGGTCCCCACGGTTTTTCGGCCGTAACTCCCCAACGGTTGCTCCTAGAGTTCCGGGAAAAAAGTTTTGCCCCCTTGACGCAACCCTAGCGGCTCTCGAGGGCGCCGACCAGCCCCCGCAAACCCGGACCCCCTATCCCCCCCAGGGGAGGAGTTCGGGTCCCCCGATAGGGACAGTAAAATCCGCACCGCCACACCGATAGGGACAGTAAAGGAACGAATGGCGGGCTATCACTCCTCCTTATCGCTTTTCGCGGTTTCGACCGTCTTTCACGATTTTTTTTCAAAATGTTCGAGTTTTACCCCCCTCGGGGGCCCCGGAAGTTCCCGTTCGGACCTTATTCGCGTTCCTCGGTAAATTTATAGTCGGCGCGCGGCCCTACTTTTCGCCCGGCGGGCCCGCGGCTGCGGAAGTCGCGTGCGATACGAGCGTCGCCATCGCGCGCCTTTTTTGCCGTTTTTTTCGAAAATTCGAGTTTAAGGCGTTATAGGGCGTATCGACCTCCCCGTTTAGATCTTATTCGCGTTCCCCGCTAAATTTACAGTCGGCGCGCGGCCCTACTTTTTTATAATCCAGTCCCCCGGCGGACCAGTCGATCGCAGAGAGCGCGGCGTCATCGCGATTTCGACGGTTTTTCCGACTTTTTCGATTAGAGTCGCGTTTAGCACCTCTACGAGACGTCCGACCTCCCCGTCGGAGACGTATTCGCGTTCCCCCCTAAATTTATAGCCGGCGCGCGGCCCTACTTTTTCAAAAGCGAGCCCCGGGGAGAAGCGGCGTCGCGGAAACGAGAGTAGGTACCGATTACGTATCGCTATATATAGGCATAAATACATGCGTCTCGAGGTTCGATTTTTTTCGCAAATCTCGCGTTTTATACGTCAGAGGGCGGCGGATTCGGAGGTCCTCTCGCCGAAACGGTCGGATCGCCCGCTCAAACGCCTTTTGACGGCCGTCCAAACGGCGTTCGCCTTTCGCGTGCACGGTGACGTGGCTTAAGAGTCATACAATTGACTGTAAACTTCATCTCAGTAGGTGGCCAGGTAGGTTAGGCGTTAGGACAAGTGACTCGAGGGTCGTGGTTCCGAACCCGGCCGCCGGGACTTTCGATAATTTTGCGGCGGCCGTGTTGAATCTGAATTTTTTTTTCACTTTTTTTTTTCGTCTTTTCGCTATCACTTCCGTCTTATCGTATTTAACGAAAATATTCGGTTTTTTTTTAAAATTCGAATTTTACCGCCTCTACGGACTTCGAAGACTTATTCGCGTTCCCCGTCAAAGCAGTCCTTGATACTATTTATTACTATTCAAGGGCTTGAATATATGCGTCGAAGAGTTCGATTTTTTTTTTTTTTTGCAGTTTTTTTCAAAAATTCGATTTTTAGCCCGTTTCGGTCGTATCGCCCTCCCCGTTTGGATTTTATTCGCGTTCCCCGCTAAATTTACAGCCGGCGCGCGGCCCTACTTTTTCAGATACGAGTCCCGGGGAGGAGTGGCGTCGCAGAAACTTGAGTAGGTAACGCTAAATATATGCGTCGCGTCGTTTTTTGCCGTTTTTTTCTAAAATTCCAGTTTTAGCCCTTTTCGACACTTCTGCAATCCCAGTTCATGACTTATTCGCGTTCCCCTCTACATTTACTCGACCACCGTCGAGTAGGTGTTACTATATACAGGCATCGAAATGCACGCGTCGAAAGTTCCTTTTTTTTTCTCGAATATAGCGTTCTGAACTCAGTAGGTAGGTAGATAGGTAGCAAGGCCGCCGGAATTTTTTTTTCACTTTTTTCTTTATTATTACTTTTTGATTTCACTTCAGCCTTATCATATTATAACGAACATTTTACGATTTTTTCGAGTTTCACCGTCGAAGGCTTATTCGCGTTCCCCGCCAAATGTATAAGTCAGTACTTCGCTCGAGTCGAGTGCCGCGGAGGAAATCGGAGAGCGGACAGTGTCGTTATTACTATATACGGAAATGAAAATATGCGACGAAAAGTTTCAATGTTTTTTTCGCGTTTTTTTTTTCGTCATATAAATATGATTAACGGAAACGTCATCAGCTTATCGAGTTTTGCTTCTAAATCGCTCTACTACCTACTAATTACTATAAACGACAAAAACTATTAAACGTGGCCGCCCGACTTGCAAGACACTCAACAAATCACGGCGACTATATTATGACTAGCACGGGCGCCCGAAATGTTATTATTTATATACATTTGATTTACGTCATTTGGCGTTTTCATGCCTTGACCCGGACGTCGCACTATCCGACGAAGTCAGATTGCCTACCAGGGTTGCTACGTCCAACGTCGAGGAAGGTGACTGACCTGCTAGACACCAAAACATATACCAATTTCTTTACTTAATTTTGCGTCAGAAGTCACACGTTGTCCGCTATCCGACGCTAGACCCTAGATCCTGCTAGACCCTAAAACATATTTTCGCGTAATTACGTCGAGGAAGGTGACTCGGTAGTCGGATTGCTTACGAAATGTTTTCAATTTTTTTTCACGTATTTCATAACTTAATTTTGCGTTGTCGGTGACTACAATGGACGCTGTCCCGGCCGCACATTGCCTACCCGGATAACATAGATGACTGACCTGCTAGACACCGAAAAATCAGACGGTGGCTATATGATTTGAATGGACAACCGAAATATTTTGAATTTTCTTCACGTAATTTATTCTTTAATTTTGAGTTTTCGGTAACAGTAATGAACGTCGTCCGCGATTCGACGCAGTCGGATTGCATACGTGATGACGTGACCCGGCCGTCGCACAGTGTCCGCTATCCGTCCAAGTCGGATAGCCTACTCCTATTATTATAGCGAATGTCATTCGAGGTGACTGACCTGCTAGACACCCTAAAAAATACGGCGGCTATATGATTTGCATGGACGTCCGAAATTTTTTAAATACTTTTCAAGTAATTTATTACTTTTTTTGCTTTTTCGGTAACAGTAATGAACGTCGTCCGCGATTCGACGCAGTCGGATTGCATACGTGATGACGTGCCCCGACCGTCGAATATTGTCTTAAAGGGTGACTACGACCAAAGTCGAGGAAGGTGACTGACCCGCTAGACCCCAAATACTATTACTACGGCGAACGTCACTCTAGGTGACCGAACTGCTAGATACCCACAAAAATTACTATATTATTTTTTTTATCAAATTTCGAATTTCCGGCGGCGTCGTCGAAAAGACTCTGTCAAAGACTCTGCCCTGGCTACCACAGGCTACCACGTCGAACCGCAGTGGTCCTATCCTTATCACACATCCTTATCACCAGACCTCCACATCACCCATACACCGCGTCGGCTGAGACCCACGACCACACCACGAGATCACCGCTGCTTCCGAAATCGACAACACTCGGGGTCCGCTCACGGGGGTCTGGGGGTGTCCCCCAGCGACGCTCGGAGAGCTAGTATACATATAAAATATAAAAGATACTAACTATAATAAAATACGTTATTTGTCATTATCAAATAATCTATACCTGTGTTAAACAAATTTAAAGAATTTAAAATTTTTTTTCTATATTCTATTATTAAAATCGCTTAAATCAATAACTTTTATTGCATGATGTAAAATCGATTAATTTCACTACTTCTAATGAAAACTATAAGCTAATAAATTAAAATGACACAACTTAAATAAATAGTATATAAATTATATTATTTACTATTATTGTTAATTTCGGTAATCCTGGCAGATTTATGTATTACAATTCTTCATAATTATGAAACAGTACAATAATAATAAAAACTATTTTCTTTGATTTATTAAAGATAATTTTCTTTTATCTATAATATGAATAAATGATTACATACAACAGTTGTTTATTGTTGATTAGGAAAATATTTCGGCCCACGGAAATGTCTAATCTCTTAGTACATCTCTTAGTGCTATGTACATTGTTATTAAAATGTTGTATTTATAATTTATATATTTAGATATGAAAAAAATTGCCTGCCAGACGGAATTTTTAAATTACAAGTATTTGAATTTGGTAGTGCTGTTTAGCTTTGACCAATAAAATATCAAATTATACTATTGATTAAACTGAATTAGAAATATTTTTACAATCAAAAAAGTTTGCAATTAATTTTTATAATATTTTTCATTCATAAAATACAATAATAAACTATACAATGTTTAAATGTACAATTTATAGTATTATTAATTTGATATATATATATATATTATATTAAAAAAATTTAACCATTATGAACTAGCAAAAGTATAAATATAAAACATATAATAAATTATTACACTTTTATTTCCACTTTACAGTCTCACTTATCATAAAAGTAAAAATTAATAGTAAATTTCTATTAGATGTCATTTTAAATCAATTAAAGACCTCATTAACACTATTTTTCCTTTGGAACTATTTTGTCTTTATCCTTATCTTTAGCAGCAGCAATTGTACTAGGTGTAATACCAGCGGCAGCAGCTATATTACCAATACTGCAAGTATCTCCTGTTTCTAGTTGTTTTAAGAGACGAAACAGAGCTGATGCTTCTCGAATTTGAATAAAATCGATACAAAAGGCTTGAACTTCAATAAATAATTCCTATAAGAAACATAAGTAATTTGTAAAGATTGTAAACTAATATAAAAATTGTATTCTTAAATTGTATTAATTCAATTAAAAGTTAAAATTAATTAAGGGGATTCGATACCGTGATTTTCTGTTTTTGTCTAACACACACTCGAAATAGTATTTTAGACATGTTTTTTGCCAAACATACCAATTGATCTAATGAAGCGATAAGAATTCTGAAAACAGATTTGACTTTGTCGTCAAGTCTACTTGAAATTGACTTTCCCACATTTTTGATATTACCCCCCAAATTTTTTAAAAATGTCATATTCAAAAAGAGTATTTAAAAATTCTGTTATTTCAATTTTTGGAGAAGTTAAAATCAAAAATGTGGGAAAGTCGATTTCAAGTAGAATTGACGAAAAATTTGAATCTGTTTTCAGAAATCTTATCGCTTCAATAGATCAATTGAAATGTTTGGCAAAATGCAAGTCTAAAATACTATGTCACGCGTGTGTTAGACAAAAACAGAAAATCACGGTATCGAATCCCCTTAATACAACTATATTCTGGGCCATGAGAGAATGCAAACTGTATGCCGCATCCAAATGAAGGCGCTCCGTCGTCTCGAGGCTAAATTTCCCCCTCCATGTGGCCATTGGTCTATGGTACACACCTGCTGCCGGTAACGGCGAGTTCTGGAGCACCCGACAGGTGGGCGCTCTGGCTGGTAAAATGGTGGGGATTCGAGAAAAAAGACGAGTTTTGGTCCGGGTGCATTCTCTCCTGGTCCAGAGTATAGATACAATATAATACTATTTAATATTAGTTTCTTATCATCAAAGTAGTCTGCCATTTACAAAGCAGGCTGTGTTTACAAAATAATATTATCACAGTATATATAAGTATACACATATATGAATATATGTAAAATAAATGTAAACATTGCCTGCTTTATAAATGGTGGCCGACTTCAACTTTGTTCAAAACTGTAGTATTAAGACGGTTTTCTAGTTGTTATATACATCTATGATTAGAAACTTCTAAATTAATAAAATAAAGTTAACAGTTAAAAATAAATATTCATAAAAAAAATAGTTACCTGAACATTTATTATTTTATTTCTAATGAGAGATTGCAAGAAAACGCACACTAAACGAACTAATCGGTTTTGCATATATTGATCCTTAATAGTTTCACACGCTACAATACAATTTGATATGTATAGATGTACAAATTCAGTTGGAAGTTCTACAGTAGTAGTTAATCTATTAAATAATACATAAATTTGTTAAAAAGTAATAACGATTAATGATGATGATGACATACCGATTAACTACTTCCATTGAGTGTAAAGACATTTCCATATTGACTAAGACGGAGAAGTAATCAGTTATGGAATGTGACTGCATTAGTTTTAGTAATACTTCAATAGCTATCAAAGGATTATTTTCAACTAAATCTGGCAACTTAAAAATTAAAATAAAAAAAAATACATGATTATTATTATTAGTCATAATCATTGATAAATTGTATGTAACTAGCTTACTTTACACGGCGTAAGACCTATATGATAAACTAGTTTTGGATCATTTCCAAGTTCAGCTAAAAGATGCTGTTGTTGCTGTAAGGTTAATGGTGTTTTGAGAGCTTTAGTCATAAGTTCTCGTGCTTCGGTAGCAGCACTAGTAGATACACACATTGTCTTATCATACATGATCTGATGATTTGATCGACTACTCATGTTCATCCAAACCATCTATGAAGATATTCAATTACAGTAAAAACAAATATAATTTAATTTTTAATTTATTTAATTCTTACTTCTTCTTTACACACATACAGCGGTGGCACAAGTCGCATCATTTCTGGTTTAAAATTGTGCGAAACATATGATTTTGGTCCACTAATCAACGATTCTAAAACTTGTTTTGCTCCTTCCTTTGATCTATAAAATAAAAATATAATATAAAAATTGCAACTGTTTAATGGTTAATGTCATACTCAGTTTTTTGAGGATCAGGTATTATAACTGGAAGAGAGCTTTTTGCAGTTCGTGGAAGATTTTTTCGACGATCTTTTATTGTATTAAGAATTGTTGCTGTATTAACTACAGGTTTACTAGGATCACTGCGTGCTGTTAATACTTGTTTAGCAGATTTTCGTAATAACTCTTTAGAATTTTGAGACATAATTAAATTGGAAAGAAATATTTTAACTGGCATAGTTAAAACCGGCAAATCACCAACATATTCATTTTTACCAACTTTTTTATGCTGTAAATAAAATGTAGTCAACATTAATATTTACCAATTGTATTTAAAATTATATCTTACCAAGAGATGCATAAAAATAGGTGCTAAAGGATTAGTTGCAATCGGTTCATTTCGGTATAGTTCATAACACAATATTATAGCAGCAAATTTTTGTGTTTGATTGAGTAAGAAATCAGAATGTTGGATCAGCATAAGTAAAGTACAGCCAACTATAGTGAATATTACACACACTTAATAAGTATTGATAAATATATAAATACAACTTTAAAATGGTATAAACGTTCAAAATTAAAAAGGAGTAGGTAACATTAAATGTGAATAAACAAAATTCTCTAAGATTAATAGAATAAGACATAAATTCATGTTTATTACTAAAAAAAATAGTACCTAATGCAAGATATTATAACAATATTAGTAACATGAAGTATACAAGAATAACATAAATTACATTTTGATAGAAAATTAAAAACTCAACGTAAGCTTGGGTTATTTTTATTTAAAATTAAAATTAATCATAGTATATAGTCATAAACCATGGTTAACTTTTAAAGAAGAACGGAAGTTTTTAATTTGTACAACATATTATTTTATTTATGATAGAAAAATATTTTGACTCATGAAACAGTCTTTACTTTTTATTTAGTAGGAAACAATTTTGTTTAGAAATATTAGGCAATTAGTTAAAAATCATTTATATACTTTTTTCAGTCTCCTCCCAATCCAAATTTAGTTTGTTTCTAATTAAATATACATTTTAATAACAAAAATAGTAATAAAATAACTGTTAATTTATTTATTTGCACAGTGCGAATATTATATTATTATGTAAGTTATGTAATATTTACCTTTAAAATTATCTTCTCGTTTGAAAAATTGATGAAGTTGTGAAACTAGATATTCAAGTGTTTGATTTTCTACAGTTTCTTCACTAAGAATGCTATGAAATTAAGTAGTTTATTATTATAAAACTAAATACAATGGACAAGTAAATGTTAATAATTGTAAACATACCTCATGAGAGTAGATAGTTGGTTAACGGAGAGATACATTCTCTTGGTATGAATGGTGGTATGCTTACTCAATAAAGACACTGTAAATAAATTCCACGGTTCAATTTTTTGGTAACTTACAACAAAAAATTAATAAATTAGACTTATATCGCAATATTTGTGTAATTATTAGTTTGAAATACTGAAATAATATAGGAAATAAACATTCGACTAATCATTTGATAAGAATTGATTATCCATTGTTGCCAACATAAAATATAAATATTTATTATTTAGATGATATAAAAATATTCCAAAGAGAACCTAAGCAAATTGTTGAAGTCGGGAAAACTGGTAAGAAAAATGATTTTGTTGTTAAGAATTTATAAAATGTTCAACATTTATAGCTAAGTATTGAAAATTTAAAACAAGGTTCCACGTTTTTTTTATAGTCATTTTATGATCAAATTTGGATGAAATTACATATTAAAGAAAAACAATTTTAGTTATTTTGTTGTAATTTTATAATATTAATTCTACTTACCGGCTACCGTATTAATAATAAGTAGGTAATATCAATATAAATATATAATATAAAATATCCACACTGACAAACCGTCATCGCTCAGAATCGTTTTTCGTATACCTACAATAATATTTTATTATTATATCATTGAATTCAAATTTAATACCATTATACAGTTATCCAGTAGTAACCTACTGTAGGTACAGCAGAACGACATCCACTCACCTTGAAAATGTTTATATAAATTTTAGTATAATATATCATTTTTAAGAAATTTTTCTTGGCCTTCCCTGCTTACAAATCCTAGACATGCCTATGTATATGGGTGTCTGTGGGGGGGGGGTCAGTGGCATAGCTACTGTAAGGCAAAGCGGGCCAGTGCCACGGGGCCCCATGATATTACATTTTGAATTTTTATAAAGATATTCGTTGATGGCCTAGTTTAATTAGTGCTCTGGGGCCCTATCCAATTCAGTTACGCCATTGGAGGGGGTCCAGTATCACGACTGGACACCCACCCACCACCACTGATGTTTATTTGTGCACCTATTTAATACAAAAATATTATTGTAATTGTTTGTTTAAGCTATATTTAAGTGTTATTTAGGTACTATGCTTCTTAAATTAACTAACAGATTTTTCGAATAACAAAAAGGATAAAAACAAACAACACTATTTAAAGAAATCATTGTGGTAAAATGTAATTTTCTATAAGTCTTCTATGCCTCTACCGTACGACCTATTGAGATAATGAGATTTGAATAATACCATCTGATCATCATCCTTCAAAACCGTGGTTACGGTGTTTACTATTTGTTATCTATGGGGTCATCTATTGTCATGCCGGTAGTTACCAGGTACCATTATTAAACACAGTTCTTATCATAACTAATTCATTATCATTTCAAATATTCACAAATTGTTATTCCATACTTTTTAAACCGAAAAATTATTAACAAAATTTATTTTTTTTACAAATTTCCACAATCTACTTATTTATTATAATAAAACGATGTTTTATGCATTTTTATTTAAATCGCATGTCTACTCTACTTAATGCAAGCACAGCGCGTTGTCAAATTATCCCGCCATTTAAAAATTTCACCAATTTTCTCAGTTGGATATTAATATGGATACAACTCCGGCAGACGATTGTTAAGAAAAATATCACTTCTCGGATATACCTAGCATGCAAAGGTAAGTCAAAATTCAATTATTTAATTTTAATAATTGTTATTAAATGTTATATGTAAGAAAGTAAGGTATTTACTATTTCATAATAAACTACCGGTTAGTCCGCCCGGTTAGTGTCTAGTTGGTAATTCGGAATTTTTTTCAACAAATTACGTAATTGTTGAATTATTACTTGTAAGTTCAGCAAGTTATGTAGATGCTGTTTTCTCGATAGGGGCGTGATTTGGCGGGGGATTAGGGGGATATATTCCCTCCCAAAACTTTTATTTACTGCTAACATTTTGATCAAAGTATTGTTAATAACCATTCATGTTTGCTAAAAACGTATAACCCCCCCCCCAACTTCCCGCTGTTTCTCGAGGGGGGATTTTAAATATGGATACCATTGTATAACATAAGCAAATAATATTAAAATAGTTGTACTGTATAGTTTTATACTGTAATTATAATTAGGAATGCATTATTTAAATAATAAAATAATATATAAAATAAATTACAGAATACAATTAGGTAGGTACTGGTTAATTTTACATCCGTTAATAATTTAATACATTAGGAAATATTATTTTTCCTGTACAAATTTAGCATTTAATAGTTTTATTGATTTAGTAAATAATATATAGGTTGGTGCGTCAAATATTTTGTCCGTTCTTTTTTTGGTATTACCCTTCACCCCTCACGTCTAATATCAATAACTGAGGCAATGTGTAATAACTAATAGACATTATGTAATAACTATTCACTGTCTATTAAAAGTTAAAAATCTATATTATTATTGTTATTAGTTTATTACATTTTTTGTTTTATTTTAATCAGTGGAAGTGGCATTCTGGAGGGAGGTGTTATATAATACAAATAATTAAAGGTACTATCGAATCGAATAGGTAGGTACTTCATTATAGTCTATAGAGTATAGAATATATATATATATATATATATATATATATTTAATACCATATGTTAAAAATCTGAAATTCGTAAATTTGTTTAATAATGTCATTGCCCCCCGAAATGTTATATATAATATCATGTTTAATAATAAAATAATGTCATTTCTCAGCGGGTCGCATGGGATTGATTGCTATCGTTGTTATTCCACAATGAATATAATTAATTTGAGACATCCAAGACCTTAACCAATATAACTTACGTTTTGGCAATACAACGCAGAAAAGATTGCCATAGTCCATAGAATTAGTTCGTTAGTGTTTACAAGAGAAAAAATTCAAGGTTACTCGTTAGCTATTACTATCATATATTATACTGATACTGGTACATGCAACTTTTGGCGCACAATTCCATTTTTTACGATACCCAAAAAGATTTTCTTGACTTATTATTGGATTTATTTCATCTTTTAATTCAAATATCCTCAATATATTTGTTTGATTCTAATTTATTAAGTTACCTTACTACCGTGGTACATTAAAAATTATTAAAATTATTATAGTATAAAATTGTATTATTTCGTTTGTTTGTAAGCATTTCTGTAAGCATTTATTTTGTAGTTGTATTAAGTTTAGATAATATATTACAAGATTAATTCTTGGGGAGTAGACCATTAGTGATAACCAGTGTACGGATAATTAAGTATCTTTGGAAAACTGGCCTATGACGAATTAGATACTAGGTATTACCCTATAATTAATTCTATCAAACAACTATAATTTACAATTTTAAAAATCAATAACTTAGTATCTTAGTTATGAACACTAAAATTTAATAGAAGCCAGGATTGTTTTGTTTTATATTTCTGTATTTACCCACCAATCTTATATTATTTTTTTCTGAAATGTAATTCAAAAATTTCCTATTAAATAGGCAATTCTTTAAAAATGTAAATTTTTTGAAATCGCAGCTGCTTTTGATTATAGATAGTTGCAAAAATGTGCAAAATTTACGGCTTGTAAATTTCTTTTTAAATCTAGTTCTTTTTGAGTACCCCTTGCAACTCCGCTTAGAATCGAATCAATATGATTCATAAATTGCAGTATTCAAATATCTACATTTGTAATCATAACTAAAAATTTGAAAAAGTTCTATAAACACTAGACAAATTTAGAAAATACAGTTCTCCTTAGAAGATTTTATTATATTACTTTTACGTAAAATAATTTTAAACTAATAATTATAGTCTATGCATATTTTGAGTTACTGTACCTAATCTAGATTATATTATGTACGTAATCTCCATAGTAGGAATAAGTATGTTATTAATGTTTTTACTTATTGTTTTTCGATAAGATGATTAATGATTCGTTTGGGAATTAAAATTATATTATTTTTTTTTAAAGATTTGTAATATATTAAGATCGAAAAGGATATTTTTTAATTTCTACGTTCTAAATCCTTAAAATTATTTTATTGTAAAAGGTGTAAACCTAGATGTAAATCTAAATCTTATCTGCTAATGGTCACATACAATTAAACGAAGTTATACACTATTTTCATAACTTGATGCATAGACAAAAGGTACTGCCAAAAAAGTGTTGGTTGATAATTGCTTTTTATTTTTTTTACAATTGTAACTGATCTCTTCGCTGAGACCTGAAACCGAGTTTGGTGACCTTGGTAGTAGTGCGTGAAGTGTCCAAAATCATTGGAGCCTGGAAGTATCAAGGACCTTGGGATGACGGTGAGGGAGGAGCTATAGGACGTGAGGAAGCGCGTCATTTCCCCGTTTGTAATAAGTTATACATAACGCTCGGTGCATATATATATGAAATGTCTTGCCAGGTGCAGAGCTGCAGTTCTGGCGCTGTCCATAACACCTGGCTTCTGTTTTTTCCTCGTAGAGCATCGCGCGTTCTCTCTTTTCCAGTAACTCACCCGTAAAACCTCTGGATCTATTCGTCCGTTACATAATAATACAGGCCAGTACACACATATACGTATCCACACGTAAACCGTTTCATTGGTAACTTGAACTTTCTAGGAGCATGACCATCCTAAATGGTCAAGTCATTAAGATAACGAAGCGCTGTACAGCTGTACTATACCGAGTGTCTTACCATGTTTGTCACCGTTAGAATCAGTTTTTCTACTCAATATTTTTCAAAATTATATCTGAGTTACAGAGGAACTATAATAATTATAAATTGTAGTTATTTTAGAGTACATTTTTATGCGTGTCTTTTTTGTCTGTCATCAGTCATCTTGTATTCTCATTCAAAAACAATACAAATTCTTCAATTCTTAAAGTTTGAGGGTAGTTTCTGAAATAAAATAGGACACAGTTGAAAATAAGGGAATATTTACGCAAAACCAGTATTTTACAGATTATGATTTCTTGTTGTAATTGAAAAATAAACAGTAGATACTTGAAACTTTCACCAAATAT